AAAGGTATGCATAGTTTTATCTTCCCCCTCCCCCCACCCCAACCTCTTCTCCTTACAATAGTGTGCATGAATAAATGCACTTAAATAAATTTTCTTGAAAGAAAGGGTCCTTCACTATCATGACAAATATATCCTATCATTTATAAAGACATAAGTGTATTTATGATATACACATGATGTGATTTCTCTCTCTCAGGAAACATACAAGTGTTTTGCCGCGTAAGACCACTTTTTGAAGATGAAGGTCCATCTGTTGTTGAATTCCCTGATGATTTTACTATTCGTGTCAATACTGGTGATGATAGTGCATCTAATCCTAAGAAGGATTTTGAGTTTGATAGAGTTTATGGTCCTCATGTTGGGCAAGGTATTCCAAAAATCATTTTTTAACCCCTTGCTCAGTTCTTGTGCAATGTTAGATTTTGCTTACTCGCTGACTTTTTCTTTGTGCAGTTGAACTATTTACTGATATTCAGCCTTTTGTTCAGTCAGCCTTTGATGGATATAATGCTTCTATATTTGCTTATGGTCAAACACACTCGGGAAAGACACACACCATGGTCTCTCTCTCTCTCTTCTCTTCACTTGATATTGATACTTGTGGCAAACTATTAGTTGTGTCATAATTCAGTATATATAGCGGCTTGTGAATTTTATTTGTCTTAAGAATACATATACGTTTTGTCTTCATTGTATTTTCCTATTAGTGTAATGCTATATATCCATTTCTGAATTTTTTTTTTGGATTGAGTTTGACAGTCAAAGTTCTGCAAACAGCATAAAAATAGGTTCAAAGGGGAGATTTTTCATATGTGACCAGCAATTTGATTTTCATTATAGTTATGATGAGTTCTAAACCTTCTTGCAGGAAGGGTCTAGTCATGATCGTGGTTTATATGCTAGATGTTTTGAGGAGCTGTTTGATTTATCGAATTCGGATGCAACTTCAACATCTAAGTTTAATTTCTCAGTTTCAGTCTTTGAGCTCTACAATGAACAGGTATTATACTGTGTTTCATTGTGATAGCTTTTCTCTCCTTTTCAGTGCTTGGGCTAAACATTCCCTGATTATTTTGCAGATAAGAGATTTGCTTTTGGAATCTGGCGGTGATCTTCCAAAAACTGGCATCAGGTTACCAGATTGTTTTGTGGAACTTGTACAGGAAAAGGTGGAGAACCCATTGGATTTTTGCAGAATCCTCAAAGTAGCATTTCAGAATCGAGGAAGCAATACATCAAAGTTTAATGTCACTCATCTGTATGATCAGTATTTTGTTTCCAATGATAAATATTGCATTGCATTTGTGTGTTTTTTTTTTTTTTTTTTTTGGCTTATTTTGGAATTGTAATATCATGCATCATTCTACTTGCTGGAGCAGTGCATGATGTATTGTGTCATGCATGTAAGAAATCATGTGGCAATGGTCTGGCAGGGGGGCAAAGAGCCACAACCAACTGGCAAGGCAGAAGCTAGTATAGACTAGGGAAAGAGAGACATAGAATATCAATAATGTTATTATATTTCATTGAATGTATTGTGATACTAAAATCTAGGGTATTTATACTAACTAGGGGACACATAATAGAGGAACATGGATTCCAGATCTCGAGGATTCCTAAGGCCTAAGCTATATAGTAAGAAAGCAACTAATTAATATGAAGTACTTATAATACTTTGCTTTTGACATGTTTGCTTTGTTACATGTTTTACTTCAAGAAACATTCAATTGGTATGTCGATATGCATCATAATCTTTTATGTGCCTGTTCCTGTGTTTCTTTGAGTATGAGCCATGCTTTTTACTTAATCTTGGCGCCTTTTATTACTTATCTTTTTTGTTTTTTTTTTTTTTTTTTTTTTTGTTTTTTTTTTTTTTTGTTTTTGTTCTCAGGATAATCTGCGTACATATATATTATGAGAATATGATCACTGGTGAGAATTTTTACAGCAAGCTTTCACTCATTGACTTGGCTGGAAGTGAAAGTGCATCTGTAGAAGATGATAGTGGGGGACAAGCGACAGATTTGCTGCATGTCATGAATTCACTATCGGCGTAAGTACTGTGTTTGAGCCCATACTTTTGCCAACAGCACTGAAAGTTATGGCCAAACTTTGAAATATTGCTTTATATGTGTATCTTTGGGTGCTGGTGTACAATTATTTATATTATATTAGTAAGTTTTAACTTTAAAACCAGTTTATTCTCCATTGGATTTGCTATATGTCCTTTAAACCTGTTCCCTTTACTGTGAGATAAGCAACTGCTTTGTTTGGTTGGAAATTTTACAGTATATACATTTTAAAAAACAAATTAGAACTACTGCTTTGCAATTTTAGTTTCATACTGAAAGTCTGTGTCGCTATCTTTATGGATCTGAGATTTACTGATTTTATCACAAGGAGAAGCTTCCGAGTTCACAATGCTCATCGCCATTGTTCAGAAAACGATTCAAGAAACAGAGTGGCAGATCCTGCATTCAGCTTTTTTTTTTTTTTTTTTTGAAAACTGCATTCAGCTTTTGATTGGACTGCTATTGGCTATTAATTAATTATTAGCAGCTAGTTATTGACCACAAAGTTATACAATTTTAGTTGCTCAAATGGATTATCTCATTTTTCCTGTTATCTATATTGCTTGTCAAGAACTGAATAATTGATTTAAACTCTTAACCGATGTCTGACTCAATGTTCAACATGTAGTATTTAACACTACATCTTTAGTGGAAAACATTCATTCATTTATTGGACCTGCTGTCTCTTCTTGACTATGTACTCACTGTTTTGATGCTGGACATGCAGATTAGGAGATGTTTTAAATTCATTGACTTCAAAGAAGGACAGTGTTCCATATGGAAACTCAATGCTTACAAAGTTATTTGCAGACTCAATAGGTAGTGGTTCATTCCCTTGCAGGCAAAACGTGAACTAATTTTCTTCAATGCTTCTGTGTGTTCTCATACTCTTTTCTGCTTTAGTTAGTGTTGTGACATTTATTTCTAAATGGAAATTTGATCATCAAAGACTTATAAATGGGGAGGACACATAAGCTGCATACTCACCAAGAAATAGTTGGTTGACACCTGACATAATTATTCACATGGACTTTGCTTGGGGGGGGGGGGGGGTGCGTTGCTTATTACTCCTGTGCAAGCATATTTCTCAATTTTTCTTAGGATTTCTCAGTTTGATGTCTGTGAATACCATTCCCAATCAATGTTATTAATTAATGGATGCTGATATTTCCTCCTGTGGAAGTTGCATTGTATGCATAAAGTATTGATTCCTTTCTACCTTCTGATAATATTTCAATCTCCAAAGTTTATTGTGTTATCTGGTTCATCAGTTGCATGTTTACAATACTTGATGAAGTCATGGCTTCTGAGGGTTTCTAACAGTCTCCATTTAACTGTATGCATTGTCTTATTTGTTTGTGTAAGGCTGTTATTGTTGCTGTGATTTCTTTCATATCTTGCTAAGTACTTGTACTTCATTACTTAATATGTCATATCCTTTTGTGTTCAAACAGTGTCCATCAATTTCTCTTCATTGTGCTTGGCTTAATGCAGGTGGAAATGCAAAGACAGTAATGATTGTCAATATCTGTCCAAATGCTTTAAATTTGTCGGAGACATTATCATCCCTCAATTTTTCTGCCAGAGCTAGGAGTGCTGTACTAAGTCTTGGAAATCGGGATACAATCAAGAAATGGAGAGATATTGTAAGTTCTTTTAATGCCTTTTCTTGTGACTGGCAGTCCGATATTTGTTGGATTTGGTACTCCACTTAATTATTCTTCTACTCATGTTTGGAATTAGTGGGTTGAGTAATTCAATATGTTATTCTTCATTTTCAGATCTTCATGCATTGCCTATGTCAGTGCAGTTTTCTGAACTGTAGTTTTCATTTTATGCTATAGGCCAATGATGCTCGCAAGGAACTTTATGAGAAGGAGAAGGAAATCAATGATCTGAAGCAGGAGGTTACGGCAACGAAACAGGATCTGAAACATGCCAATGATCAGTGTGTTCTACTATTCAATGAAGTTCAGAAGGCTTGGAAAGTGTCTTTTACACTCCAGTCAGATTTAAAGGTTTTGTTTTCTTGTGCTTTAGCTTTCCACATTTACTTGCTTCATCAGCCTCAACATCCTGAAGCATAGTGTTAGCTTTCTTGGGTTGCACGAAAGAAATAAAGAGTACACTGCTAAAATACTTAGATGGATGTTCTTTTTGTAGTTGATATCTGATTGTTCTCAAAGTGAATATTCTCTTTGATTTAGCACAGAAGCAATTACACATTTACTCTCTAGATCTTTTATTTTTTATTTTATTTTATTTGAACAATTATATCATTAGGAACCTGAGTTCTGGAATGTTTTTTTTCCCAATTTTGTATTTTATCCTTTTACAGTTAGTTCTGCTTGGCTGCTTGCATTCTTGACTTCTGGGGAAACTACCGATGTATTTTATGCATAAAAGACACCCAAGACACTTTATTACACATCTTATTTGTATACTTTGTTTAGGGCTGTTGTACATACGTGTGTGTGTGTACATACATTTGAATTTAGAACTTTTCCCCTTAAGATGTTAACCAGCCACTTAAAATTGCAGATGGTTGTACTTTTTACTCCTTGTAGGAGTCAAACTTGTGACCATGTTTAAGATGAAAAATAGGACCTTGTTTCCTTGGTTTCTTCCATGTCATATATTGGGCTTCTTAGAAGTTAGATAAAATGAGTGCTTAATGGCAGGAAGCATGTTGTAAGGCACTTCATTTTTCCATTTGATGCAGGCTGAGAACATTATGCTTGTTGATAAGCATAATATAGAGAAGGAACAAAATTCACAGCTTAGGAATCAAGTTGCTCAACTCTTGCAGTTGGAGCAAGAGCAGAAGATGCAGATAAAAGAACGCGATTCTACTATTCAAGCATTACAGGTTTGTTCAGAGCACTTCCAAGCAAATGGTTGCTTATATCTTTTTTTTTTTTTTTTTTAATAAATATTTTTAGCTTTTAGTCTGAGCTATCATTTTCTGCTTTTCCATGAAAATGCTGTTTATATTTCTGTCATGCACTTTGGAATATAGCCATATAGGAGTATTGTTTGCATGGTAATTTCAGTTTCTCTAAATCCTTCCACCATTTTGTGATTGTTATTACTCTTTGTTGTCATCTCTGTTTACATGTACTCAAATCAAGAAATCATTCTGTCTCTGTTTAGTATTTATATTTACAGGTACTCAGAAAAGTTAGTTATATTTTCCTTTTTATATGATAAATCTGTACCTAATACTTTCTTAGATTGGCTTAAGCTTGTATAGATTGTTTAGAGTCCTGATGTAAATCAGGTACTTTTTCGGTTGGTTCTCCCTTAGTGCCTTGATGATTATATTCTTTCTACTAATTAGAAAAAAAATGATAATTCCATACTGATTGCTTTCACTAATTGGTTGGTGCCTACTGTGTAGACCAAACTCAAAAACATTGAGTTGCAACTGAATGAAGCCCTTTCTTCTAGTGAGAAAAGGTCAATAAATGGTTCAGAATCAAAGCCTACAGTGCAGACTAGTTCCAAACCAACAACTGACAACATGGATTCTACAGCTGTTACTAAAAGACTTGAAGAGGAACTTTTAAAACGTGATGCACTTATTGAGGTAATCTGTTACGCCAATTCTTTCCAAAGGGACTAGGTTAACGGTAAAGAGTTTGTAAGGCACTCTTGTAAACTTCACTTGGGTCAACAATGAACTTTAGTTTAAGGTGTCCAGTTATGTTTTGGGATCACTTAAGTTTAGCAAATAGAAAACTATTTTCACCCTTTTCTCCTTGCAAATTGAAAGCACATTGTTTTTAGTTCTAAACGTTGACATGTTCCATTGCAGAGGTTGCATGAAGAGAATGAGAAGCTATTTGACAGGTTGACAGAAAAAGCTTCATTAGCTGGATCACCACAGGTTATCAGCGATACATTTACCTAATTTGCAAGTTGCAACTTTCAGTTGTATTATTGCTTTCTTCTTTTCCCTGTTAATGTGTGGCCTGGTGGATATCTCTATTACTCTATTGGAGTTGTGCTTGGTTTGGAGTTGGTTCCTATAGTTTCACCTAAATACTGTCGTTCATGAATCTCATTAGAGTGCTTTGTAATTCAGGTGTCAAGTCCATCTCCCAAAGAGCCAACTATACAGAGCCGAGACATGGGAAGGTATATGCTATAGTCCACCATTAACATTTAAACGTGATGTTTATCTGCAATATTGTTATCATTTTTCATTGCTCAATATATTTATTTTTCTGGTTGTACTTGACAGAAATGATAATAACATTAAAGGACGAGGTGTGGATGAGGTACCTTTGCCTTTGGTGTCAAATAAGTCTGAAGGAACTGTTGCTTTGGTTAAGGCTGGTACTGAAAATATTAAGAGAACCCCAGCTGGAGAATATCTCACATCTGCCTTAAATGATTTTGATCCTGAACAATACGACAGCCTTGCTGCCATATCTGATGGAGCAAACAAGCTTTTAATGCTGGTATGGTTATTTTACTCTATCATTTACTCATTTAGTAATTTTGACTAAAGTACTATACTAATTTTAGTTGGTGTAATGTTCTTAGTATTCTATCTATTCTAAAATGCAATTTTTTGTTCTCTATATTCTTCTGATTTACAAAGAAACCCCTTTTACTACTACCTCTGTTTTCTAATATTTCAGATGTTTAGTGTTTGATTCTTTTAAATCTAGTTTAAGATTTCAAAAATAATTCCTATTTTTCTTCAACAATCTGACCATGAGAATTGCAGGTTCTGGCAGCTGTCATTAAAGCAGGTGCATCTAGAGAACATGAGATACTTGCTGAAATTCGAGATGCTGTGTTTGCTTTCATTCGTAAAATGGAGCCAAAGAGAGTAATGGATACCATGCTTGTTTCCCGTGTTAGGATTTTGTATATTAGATCTTTGCTTGCTAGGTCACCAGAGCTCCAATCTATCAAGGTAATGGAATACTTGGCCATTTTCTTCATGTACTTTGCTCAATACATGAATGCATATGCTCCATAATGGGCTAATAACAGTTTCTGTCACTACTTTCTTTAGGTTTCCCCTGTTGAACGTTTTTTGGAGAAAGCTAATACTGGACGGAGTAGAAGCTCTAGCCGTGGTAGTAGCCCTGGAAGATCTCCTGTGCGTTATAACTCTCTGGTTGATGAACAGATTCATGGGTTTAAAGTAAATTTAAAGCCAGAAAAAAAGTCAAAATTATCGTCTGTGGTTCTTAAGATACGTGGTATTGATCAGGTAACTCTTGTGTAGTAGCTGTAATCCTTGTTCACTTGGCTTTCATGACTATTAAGTGTCTTCTCTTCAATGTATTGACTGGACCTGGTTCTGGTTGCAGAAAATCTACTTTTGCATATGCCTTACAATAACATGAAATTTAAGTTCTTGTGAATTACAGTGTAGTCTATGCTGCCCACTCTTGGGTGTTTATGCTGCTTTGTTATATCTTTTCTTCATCTGTGCTAGTCATTTGAGCTTGTATGTTAGTGACTATTAAGATAAACATGTGTATAGGAAACATGGAGGCAGCATGTTACAGGAGGAAAGCTCAGAGAGATAACTGAGGAAGCTAAAAGTTTTGCAGTTGGAAACAAGGCTCTTGCTGCCCTTTTTGTTCATACTCCAGCAGGAGAACTGCAGCGTCAAATTAGAAATTGGCTTGCTGAGAACTTTGATTTTCTTTCTGTTACTGACGACACAGTTGGGGGAGCTACTGGTCAGCTGGAACTTCTTTCTACTGCAATAATGGATGGCTGGATGGCTGGACTTGGTGCTGCAATGCCTCCTAATACTGATGCTCTGGGTCAGCTTTTGTCTGAATATGCAAAGCGAGTTTATGGTTCTCAGCTTCAGCACTTGAAGGTATATTAAGATATTGCATTTTGCTTATGGTAAATAAGACGTGACTCCCAAATTGAACTTTAATTTATTTGTTGACTTGTTCCATGTCTGCATTTTTCTTCTTTCCAAGTTGTATATTTGGGTCCATATATTTACCTCATTTATCTGGTAAGTTGCCCCCATAGTGCTATTTTGTCTTTTTATAATTCAGAGTTTCATATGCACAGCATAGATATTACATTTTCCAATGTGCATCCTTTTTGATCCTTCTTTCCTTCAAACCATCTAGTGATTTGACTTCTGTTTTTTATCAGGACATTGCAGGTACCCTGGCAACTGAGGTGGCAGAGGACTCTGCACATGTTGCTAAGCTGCGTTCAGCTTTGGAATCTGTTGATCACAAGAGAAGAAAGGTATAGAATTTGTGTTTAGATATCAAATTGTATTAAGCTGCTCCTAGAATACTAATCTTAAAATGGCTTTCATCAAGTTCTTATTAAGTCAAAGCACTGCAAAGATTTCAGCAGCTATAAACCTAAAATACTCTTAAAAAGGGTAGAAGGAAAAGCTGTGAGAGGGTTACTGTAAATCTGTAATAGCAATGTTACAGGATTTGATGCTAAGGACAGACATTTGATCTTTTAGATTACTTGATTTATCCTCAGAATGGCCTTATGTCTTCTCTGGCAGTGAGACATAATGTTATCTGTAAACACAATAGCCAATGTGTGATTTATAGTCTTCCTCTGGCAGTGAGACAAAATAAAGGCAATGCTTCATTCCACAGAAGCACAGAAGTATGCCTTCATGAGCACACTAAATGAAAGATAAAACACTAGATTGTAACAAATGATTGAGCACCTGTGTTTTGATACCATCTAGAAAATTGTGTTGGGCTACTATGTTGTTGATTGTACAAATAGTTATAGATCCAGCATTAACTTTTACTCCCTTTGTCCAAAATTAATCGACTCATTTTGCTGTTCAAGAGTAGTGTATACAAAATCAATCAAGTGTTAAGATATCCTTTGTACTACCAAATGAAATCCTGTTGGTGGTCCACATATTCTATGTAAATTCTCGGAGCTGAAGATCCATGAGATGATCTTGGGTTAATCTATCTGCTTATGGCATAATGTAGATATATCATCGTTCTGGTGCTTACACAATTAAAAAAAAAAAATTACTTTTCCCTATTTACACAATTAAGTTACGAACTGATTGGAAGCCATAGCATAACTATATACTTCTAACCAGATTTTACAACAAATGAGGACCGATGTGGCACTGTTTACATTAGAAGATGGTGGTTCACCAGTTCGAAATCCTTCAACTGCAGCCGAAGATGCTCGACTTGCATCACTGGTTTCTCTTGATGGCATATTGAAACAAGTCAAGGTTTTTCACTTTTCATTGCTGGAGTCCATTTCATTACTAATGTGAACTTGGATCAAGAAACAATTGAAATGTAATATGTTTTACTGTGACAGGATATTATGAGGCAATCATCTGTTAACAGTCTTGGTAGAAGTAGGAAGAAAGCAACGCTTTCATCTCTAGATGAGCTTGCAGAACGTATGCCTTCGTTACTTGACATTGATCATCCATGTGCCCGAAAGCAAATTGAAGAAGCTCGCCGTATAGTGGAGGTATGTAACAAAGCTGCACAATAGTCAATTCAAGTTGTCTAAATTGTGCATGATGTGTGTATTTGTTGTCATTAATGTGTTAATTTTCATAGGCCAAGACTATGTTACTGATAATACTTGCCAAAATGTGTTCTACTTGGAGTTACATGTCTTTGCTTTCAGATCAGGGTTTTAAGATTTATCTTCTCATGATTTGGTGCAGTCAATACCTGAAGAAGATGACCGGCTTCATGACACTGTAAATGCTTCCCTGAACAGTGCAGATGCGGCGGGGTCAGGTGGTGAAACTGATGTGGCGCAATGGAATGTTCTACAGTTCAACACAGGTTCAACATCCCCTTTTATTATCAAATGTGGAGCTAACTCAAATTCTGAACTGGTCATCAAAGCTGATGCCCGAGTTCAAGAACCCAAAGGGGGTGAGATTGTTAGAGTTGTTCCAAGACCAACTGTTCTTGAAAATATGAGCTTGGAGGAGATGAAGCAGTTATTCACACAGCTTCCCGAGGCCCTAAGCCTTCTCGCACTTGCTCGGACAGCAGATGGAACCCGAGCTAGGTATTCTAGATTATACAGGACACTTGCTATGAAGGTTCCAGCATTGAGGGACCTCATAAGTGAGCTAGAGAAGGGTGGAGTGCTGAAGGACATGAAATCGTAAGTGCAAGTATTGAAGAGCAAACGAAACGATAAGGTGCGTTTGACCACCTTGTATTGTTAAATTCCACGGCTTGTGTGTATAACTTTGAAGATCTGCCATGTTGCACGTCTTGTGCCATTATTTGTTTGGGACATTGATAAGTAACCTCTGGGGGGTTTAATGTAATCTTGGTTACAGTCGTTGCCCTTGTGACCAATTTCCAGTTTTGGTACGTTATGTAGCATGTTGTTATGTATATAATACTGGCAATACTGCTCTTGTAAAACTCCATTGCTCTCTAAATATTATTCTAAGATATGCTCTGAGTTGATCTATCTATATAATCTTGTATTGTTTGATTATTTGATGTAATTATTAATTTATATATATTGGGATGGATCAATTTAGGGATAATCATATAATATTAAAAGATGTCAAATTGTATTAAATGTTGAAAGATGTGATATATACAATAATACAAACAAAATTTGCTTACATTAGTTACATTTTTATCTTGACTTGAATAGTTGGCCATGCTTGAACCTCAAGTTGAAGCTTCGGTGGACATAACTTTTTAGAAATCAAATTTAAAGGAATATACTTCGAGATAAAGATGGTCTACCTTCAATTCAATGGAAGATTTGGAGAAAACAAAGTAGAAGAGATAGGAAGCGGGAAGAGAATAAAATACTTCATCTGTAATAATAAAATTATTGTTTATTAGATTAAGTCTCACAAACGACAATATAAGAACAATTTTTTAAAGTGAGGGAGACGGTTTAACCTCTATATTCAATTGAGTTACTCTGTCCTTTTAGGAACAAAAAAACTATTGTTTATTGTGGATTTTCAAAACTTTTTCAAAGTTTTCCATTTTTTTTAAAGTAAAAAATATTTAAAAAAAAAATATTTTTCAAAATGATTTTCATCCTCCAGTTTTCTTATTATTATTATTTTTTTTTAGAAAAGTAAGAAAAATTTTCAGTTAGTAGACAAACATGTAGTCCTGCGGTCAAATTGCAATAGCTCATAATTTTGGGGCGAAAGTCTTAATTTTTATTCTTCTTGAAAAACAAATACGAGTAGAGAATATGACTTCCAGTCGAGTAGGAAGCACTGAAGAATGGCGAATCCTTCATCTTCATTGACATGCACGAAAATAACGTTGTTGGCAGTGTTAGCAGTTGTAATACAAATCATCGGTCTCTCTCTCTTCGTTTTGGGCTTCTTTCCCGTCAAGCCTACACTTTCCGGCGTCAGGTAAGTACGCTCCGTTTGACTAAATATTCAAATCTTAAGGACGAAGGTGAAAGAGAAGAACAAATCCAAAAAGGAAAATTACTTCCCTCCAAAAAATAAAATAAAATTCAAATGCTAGTAGATCCACTAATTTCCTTTTCCTTTCAGAAATTTGATTATTGGTTCTTTCTGATGATTACAGCGGGTTGGAGAGTTTTTATCCCCCGGGTTCGAATTCATTCGAAGGTCAAAATGCAACCATTTTGTCAGCTGATCAGCTCAAATCCTTATATCAGGTGTTTAATACTTCTTCTATGTAGAAAGATCAGTTTTTTTTTTCCTATTTTTTCATTTCTTTTTATATTTCTTGCATAATCCGCTAAGTCATGCAAGTTAGCTGTTTGGGATATTGAGAATTATCACATTTATGGCTGTTAGATAACTTGCACGTTTCTGTAAATGCAGGAGTTGTCTGGGGTGCCTCCTTTATTTGACCGTTTGATACTGATGGTAGAACTTCTGGGTTCTTGATTATAAATGTTTATGATTGTTTGATGAATCTGCTGGCTGTTATCACTTATTGGTCTGCTCAGATGTTTGTCCGTTTTGTCACAATTTTTAAAAATTTAGGTAATTGACGGTCTTCCTGCGGAATTTGTGCTTGGAAAAGATGGGCATTCTCCTCCTGAAGCTTTTAAGGAGGCTATGCCATATACTCAGTCATTATTGAATCAAGGAAGAGCAGTTGGCTACCATGCGAAGGCTGCACCTCCAACTGTCACTATGCCTCGCTTGAAGGTAGATCAACTTGTGCTCTCTCTTTATTTGTAGTGTATTGTATGCTGGAGTCTAACATGTTTTCTTTTCAAACAGGCCATGGTTTCTGGTGCAATTGGGGGTTTTTTGGATGTTGCCTTCAATTTCAACACACAAGCCCTCTTGGATGATAACATTATTGGTGTTGGAATAGTTTTGTCAATTTTAGCTCACAAATTGATTTAGTTGTACCCCTTAATTTAACTTTTTAAACTTTTCTGCTATGCAGTTCAATTTCTTAGAGTTGGTTGGAAGATGGTGATGCACGGTGATGAAACATGGCTTAAGTTATTTCCTGGAATGTTTGCGAGACATGATGGAGTTAGCAGTTTCTTTGTGAGTCTACTAGTACACTCTATTTCCAAGTATTTTCAACCATGCTTACGGACAAAGTTCCTTTCTATTCATTGGTTCTTCATATATGTGGTTTGAATTTTATTTTATTTTACTTTTTTATTTTTGGGAACAAATTTGTGTGGTTTGTAATGCAACCTCTCGAAAATTGCATTGCAAGTAGGAAATCTCCCCTTTGGGATTGGAAACATCATGTGCCCTTTATCTTCCTTGTTCTTGCACCAAACTTAAGGTTGGCAACTGGATTTCTTTTATTATTATTATTATTATTATCTGAGTATGAGGTGTCTTGAGGAACTTTTCGTTAACTACTCTGGTGTGGGTGCTTTATATGGATTATTTTGTTCAGATATGTTGCAAGGTAAAGACTCCATGCAACATATGGCTTTATTTCTCTTTATAGTTTATAATAAGCGAAGTGACCATACCTATGATATTTCCCTTCTTAATAAAGAATATAAACTAATATAATGGAGTACAAGTAAGATGCATAGACTTGATATAAAATAAGTTTATGGTGGATGGCTACAGATGGAAATAGTATTAGGAGGAAATGTATGATAAAAAGGGTTGGGCTTTGTTAAGAGTCCCACATTGAAAAAATATGAGAGAATATATGGGTTTATAAGGCCATGGTTAGACTAACTAATTGGTTGGATTCAATCTTTTAGTGTGGTTTGGCCCATGTTCATTATAGTCCAATTGAGTGACCCTAGCCCAATCTTAGTTCATAACAGGCTTAGTGTGCGAAACGCCAGTATTTGAGAAAAGAAGGGTTAGCTTACTTGTCTCTGTTTTCAAAGAGGTGTTTTTCTAGGCTTTAACCCATTACCTAATGGTTTAATGGTTGAACACTTGACCACTAAACCACGTCCAGCCTTCTTTAGGAGATATACGCTATAAAAGGGATATGCATTTTGCATTATCATGCATGGAAATTTGATCATGGTGTAAAATTTTGTTCTTGATTTTGTCTTGTTTTTCAGATTCCAAAACCATGAACTCAATATAAGTTGTCTGGGTTCTCATCTTGCAGGTTAAGGATACTGTCCAAGTAGATCATAATGTGTCGCGACATTTGGGTTTTGAACTAAAGCAGACTGATTGGAGTCTTCTGGTACTGTAATTTTCTATTTATTTATTTTTGTATGGACTTAGAGCTTTTGTACATGTCATGCAATGTAATGGTAAAGAGAATATTGGTTCGGGTCATACTTACAACAGCCCAAAAAGAGAGAACCAACCAAAAATCAGTGCTTAGTCTTTACTGTAGAAGGAACTCCCCAACCGACAGTCCTTAATTCAACCATTGTCAAATCTCAGTTATGTTTTTTTTTTTTTTTTTTTTTTCGTCTGCCCATCATGCCATCTATTATAACTAAAACTCTAAAAGTCCTAATTCAGATTCTACATTATCTTGGCTTGGACCATGTTGGACATATTGGTGGGCGCAAGAGGTATTTACATTTCCATTTCTCTTTAACTTGTTCAAAGATTCATGATTTATCTGATTTGTTCTACTTTTATTTCCAGTGTGCTGATGGCCCCCAAACTGAGAGAGATGGATGAAACAATTAAAATGATTGATCAAGGAATTGTACAAACTCAAGAGAATGATGGAGGACGGACACTCTTGGTTCGTGCTGCTTTCTTCTAGCTATCCGGTATTTATTGTTTTCCAACTTCCTTTTCATAATAAACAACATAATCCTCATTAGTTGGCGAAGCATATGTTCAGTCTAGCTAAGAATCAGAATTCAGAAGTTTTTGCAGCACTTGGGAACTTTATTTTTTTTTTTGGGTGGAATGCTAATTAAAAATATTCATCTTTCATCTTCTTTTTAATGTAGTTTCAAGTTAAACATGGCATCTAATTTGAGAGAAGTTATCGAATTCAAGGGGTCTTATAAATTCAAGGTCAATTACCAAACTAGGCACAAACTGATCCCATAAATGAGTCAACATATCATCAAATTGATCAAATTTTGACTCGAGATTTGAGAGTGATAAATTTGAACTTTAAAAACTAAACTATTAAAACTTTAAAGAAAACTTCATAAGTAATCAAAGATGAAATTTCTGATCAAACAGATACACGCATGCTAGATTTCATCCAATCTTCCTCTCTTTAAAAATAAAAAGATAAATATTTTTAGTAAGTTCCTTAAAAACTAAACTATTATAACTTTAAAGTCCTAAGTAATCAAAGATGAAGTTTTTGATCAAACAGATACACACATGCTTGATTTTATCCAATCTTTAGTAGCTTAGAAAGAGATGTTAAATTACATACCATTCTTTTATTGGTCTTTTCAAATGCTTTAGTATCTCATTTACACAAGGAATTAACAGAAATTTGAACACATGTGCTATGTTTGTTAGTGTCATTGTAACTTTGCGTCTCAATTTGTCATATTATTAGAGGGTTGTGCCATTATTATTAATTTGGGAAAACTTTGTGATTTTACGGGTAATTAACCCTAAATTCAACAAATTGATTTGATATGTTATTTAGTTTCATGTCTAAATGTTTTTAATATGTATACTCACCAGGTTGTTGTTTGTTCTAGCTCTTAAGTATTTGTTCCGTAGACACATTTGACTGAGAATATACTGGTTTTCTCACTTTAATATATGCTCTTTTTCATGCTTTATTCTGTGCTATGTATCTAATATGCAGCTGGTGGTTAGTGACCATGGAATGACTGAAAGTGGTAATCATGGAGGATCATCATATGAAGAAACTGACTCTTTGGCACTTTTTATTGGTCCAAGAAATTTTGGTGGTTTCAAAGTGACCCATAACAAAGTTAACCAGGTATTTTGAGTATCTGATCCTACAGGGCTACAATGAGTCTGAACAATGATGTCATGACTACTATGGCAATAAGTTATGCAAAACATTGTACTATTTGTTGATTTTTTTTTTTTAAAGAAAAATCTGTCATTGGTTTGTTATATCGTGAATATTTCACATCACTACAACTCTACAAGTGGCTCACTATCTATAATATTAGAGTCATTTCCTTTAGTTTTACAAGTTTGGCATGGTTGTGGGCCTGTGGCTTAAAGCTCATACATAATCCAAGTTTATACGGTTTTGTTTTTATGGAGTAATAATAGTACAGTATTCTCAAATCTCAACACTTGTCACCTAAACCTATCCCTAACTCAATCTGCTGCCACCCCCCACCCCCTAGACACACACACACACACATATGCATGTACGTATGTTATATTGTTATGTGCATGTATAGAAAAAAGAATTCATTTCAATTTTGAGAAAGATTATGTTAAGTGAATATGTGCTATAAAGAATTGCTTTTAATTTGGTTTCCAGGTCGATATTGCTTCATCTTTAGCTCTTCTTTTTGGTGTTCCCATTCCCAAAAATAATGTTGGCATGCTGATGGGAGAAGTTTTAAAACATTTGACAGGTTTGATTCCGTAGAGGTTTTTTTTTTTTTTATATAATTTTAATTTTTCATTTAGCTTGTAAAAATGGAACAAAATGGAACTTGAGTGTTACTTTTTTCATCTACTGCTAGAATGTGGTTTCCTATTTGTAAGTAATAATGATGGCTTGAGTTGGCTATGGCAGTACTGAAGAGTAGGATAAGATGTAATTTTCTAATTCTCTATTTTAAGTGGTTATAATGGCTTTGAGTTTTTTTTCCCCCTTTTTAGCTTCAAGTTTCCTGTAGCATGCTATATATATCAGATGCGACTTTTTTTTTTTTTTTTTTCAAGGATACTAGTGATGTTGTGATTTTAGTTATCTAATAACCTGCTGATTTTGTGTGTGTGTGTGTGTTTTGTGTGTATTTATTGGCTCATAATGTGAAAGTCTAAAATAGCATATAAAGAACCTTTATTGTAGTGAGAAGCATAACCATGCTAATAATTTCAGTGTAGGACTGTAGGTGATGTTTCAGTTGATTTTTCCATTTAAAAGGCATTACCTTGAATAATCTCAATGCTCTTTTATTTTATTGAAGTTTTTGCTTGCAATCTTTTATCTCTTTTTTTTTTTTTTTTTTTTTTTTTTTTTTTTTTTTTTTTTTAATAACAGCATTATAAAATAACTTATCTTTTGTTTATTTTTCAGGTGTTACAAATGACCAACATCTTAGATTATTGGAATTGAATTCCTGGCAATTACTGAGGTTGCTTCATGCACAATTGCCTGATTTAGTATGTGAAAAGTTTTCATGCAATGCCTCCAGGGATGACGATTCTGTGACAAGTGATCTAGAAGAAATGTTTTGTTGCTTGTATCTGGAGGCTGCATCTCTTCATGAATCCTGGAAATCTCGAAGAGGCTCCATGTATACTTCTTTTTGTACCTGTTGAAAAAGGATACTTTATTTGGTGATAACTTCAAGTTCTTATATTGCTTCAACTTGTACTTGAATAGGTCTATGGATGCAGAAAACTCTAGCGTAATCATTGCAGCATATCATAACTTTTTAAGAGCAGCAAGTGAGTGGCTATCTCGCAGAGCAACTGATGTAAGTATAAAAATGTCAAGATCAATTTTTATCCATGGATTGAAGTAACATAGCATATGTAAACCTTATGCAACTAATCATCTATGCACAAATGACTGAAAGGTGAACATGAATGCTATAACGGAACTTTTATCTCTGTTCTTCTTTAGATGTAGAGATTTCTTACTTTGCACTAGCTATGCAAATGACAATTTACAAAAGCAGTATTGTTGTGCCATATATTGCCACTTCACAATGACATATACTAATAACAGGAATGTAGAAGCTTTTTACACTTGGCCCAATAATAAATGCATGTGCAAATGATACAAGTGACTGATTATCAATGAAATTGTTTCACATGTCTTGATTTTTCACAGAAACCTGTAGGTCTTCTTGCGTCTGGAGTTGCAGCTATGCTCCTGTCATGTGTGATGTTCTTGGGTCTTCTGTTCTTTCTATGCCAAGAATTCTTTGTTGGGGAGAAAAGATCTCTGCGTCATGTTAATACTAGCTTGAACTCCTGGTTTTTGGATGAGATGCTTATTTTGTTTATTATCATAATGCTTGTTATTAGCATGGGATCAAGTTCAATGATAGAGGAAGAGCAATATATATGGTATTTTTTTACCACCTCATTTTATTTGGTGGTACTCCGAAAAATAATGCAGTCTGTTACATCACGAACTGTACAAAATACAAATAATACGACTGAGAGTTATAAGAGAAGATATATTCAGATTTCCTTGATTATTGTAGTTCTAATTTCTGGAAGAATTTTGAGGGGGTGGCATCAAGGTGGTGTTAATTGGGCTCATCTTCCTGACATTGCAAAATGGCTTGAGCAGGCAGGAAGCACCTATATAAAGCTGTTGCAGATGGTGTCTGTTGTCCTTGTAATCAGCATAAACTTAGTTTCATTACTGTGGGTAAAATGGTCAAAAAGAAAATACGCCATGGCGGTTTCATTGATATACTCATTCCCTGGACTGTTGGTTTTGCTGTATGTTACTAAATATCAAGATCTGACCTTTACGGTGTCCAGTTTTGAAGCTACTTTAATGGCCCAGATAATATATGCAGTTCTGATTATTTCTGCAGTTGGGACTACTGTTTTTGTTCCATGGCTTATGCCCCTCAAAAATCATATCTCCTTGTCCAGTACCTTCCAAAATTCTTTATCTATGGTGGTTAGAGATTCGAGCTACATGATTGGCTATATTTATATATACTGTTGGTGTCTTCTACAGCTTCTGCTTCAGCAGCCTATCAACTCAGTAGCCTTTTTATTGCTTTTCATGCAAATTTTTGCTAGCATTTGGCTCTTCTCCAATTCCGACCATCTTTTTAGACAATGGGTTGAGGTCAGTCATATTTATAAACATTCATTCATACTTCTTCTGTCGTACCTTGTTTCTTCAGCATACCCATTCCTCTTATTTGTTGATTCATGATTATACTTAACAGCTTTTGTATGCATATGCATGAAATGATGAAAATATACTAATTATTGGTAAAGGACTAGAAATATGTACTTTGCTTCTATATGAAATGGTTATTAGTATGATGATTTGCATATTACAACCTTACATAAGTAATTGTTCAAAGGAGAGATGATCTGGAATTAGGTATTTAGGTTTTCATATCTGAAATGCAGATCTCTCGTGCTTTGAAGTGATTTGGGGGTATGAATGAAAATGACACGTTTCTTTTTAGTGGGGAACTTAAAAGTTAGAGAGAAAACACAGTAAATCTTCTATACCCTCATACACGTATGTAAATTTGTTTGGTTTTCAGGTTGCTGCACTCTATTTTGTGGGAATGGCGGGTCACTTTGGTCTTGGTAACACCAACACTCTCGCCACCATTGATGTTGCTGGGGCTTTTATAGTATGTCACTTCCCAGAGTGTTTTTTTTTTTTTTTATTTAAAAAAAAATTATTTTAATGCGAAATTCTGATGTGTATACTTGACAAGTTGACAGAAATCCATAATATTATCTGATGGAGTTTATTTTCTTATATGATTTCCAGGGCGTCTTGAATCATTCCACGCTGCTTTCTGGTATCTTAATGTTTATCATAACATATGCTTCCCCGATTTTATCTGTGCTTAGTATGGTGGTGTACATTGCTATGAAGGAAACGATGGGGATAAAAAATTCACAGGAGGAATGTGATTTTGGACATTTGCTTAAGACGCTAATTGGTTTTCCTTGTCTCGTCCCTTTGGGCTTAAATTCCATTCTTTTGATCGCTTATACAATAGTATTGCTGCTAATGAGGAATCATTTGTTTGTCTGGAGTGTCTTTTCCCCAAAGTAAGTATCCCTTTTAAGATTTGTGTCCATATTTTGAATCTCACTCGTCAACCTGTGGCTGTTCTAAATCCCGTGGTTTATTCTCTAGGTACTTGTATGTCTGTGCTACTACGGCCTGCGTGTGTTTTGGTGTAACTATTGTGGCCTCGACTATAATATATGTATCGTCGGTCCTTGCATTACGCGTGAAGATGCACGGGTCTTGCAAACCCGATTAAAAAAGGATGTAGTGCCAACTGACTCCAATGTTTCAAGATGAGCATGCTTTGCAACTGTTCATCTTTCTAAAATTCTGGCAGGTAAAGAGAAAAAAAAAAGATCACTCTTGTACTACTTAGCTTATCACTTCTTTCCACTCAGCACCCTTTTTCATGGTTCTGAGGCTTTTTGGGATTATTAGATTACTTGCAAGCTGTGTTCTGAGGATTTTTTTTTTTTTTTTTTTTTGAAAGAGCTGTGTTCTGAGTTCTACTTTCCAGTTTCCATACACATATAGGGGTTTTTGTGAAACCCATTTTGTATGTTAATATCTTTTTATTGACCTTCTAATGCAATGTGCAAGTATTTGTTACAATTGCACATTCGAATAGCAGTTGCCGGTTTTCTTGTAAATCTAAGTATTTGTTACAAACAGCTTATTTTGATATGTGATATTGGAATTGTTATAACCTAAGATTGGGCCAATATTACTTGGCTGGGCTCTATGGTAAAAGATTGAATTTAATCAATTAGCTAGTCTTTGAACATGCTATGATATCATATTATAATCTAAAATTGAGTTAATGTTCCTCAACTAGGCTATAATGCAATGAGTTAAATTACACTAAAAGATTGAATTTAATCAAGTAGCTAAAATTTTAACTCATAACCTTATAAACTCATACTCTGTATATTCATATTTTTTTCAATGTGATGATCTTAATAGTAACTAATAACTTTCGCTTTATTTGATTATTCTAAAAGAAGTAGGAATTGTTGATAAAAAGTAAAGATATTAATCAATTATTTACTTAAATTATTTTTTATGCAATGAATAAGTATGTATAAAAAAGAGAAAAAAGAGACCCTAAAATCTCTATTGTCATTGAAAAAAAGACAACTTATAGAACATATTAATGTTTATGAGTCATTTTGTGTGCATGTAAAAGAATAATGTGAGAATAGTTGGCTAAACGAGATTGATTTTCGCCTTTCTATTGCCACATGGATGCTATTAGTTTACTTGATCGAGACGGAAAACAAAAAGCCCACCTGTCCTATTTGCATGCGGTAGTACACTAGTACGTACAACGTCCATTACCATGTTGAATGACATTATTGCCCCCTTTTGTTATTTACGGAATTACGGACTATAATTTAACCCATAACTCAAGCATTTTTTTTTTTGTTTTTAAATTTTAAAGATTTTTATTTTCCACCTAGCATAAATTTATAAATTATTGCTTTCAGTCTGAATGGGCAGCTTAACTAGTCATAGAGAGAGGTGAAAGTTAAAAAGAATGACTAGGAATCGAGTCTTACTAGGAAAGAATAAATTACTGCTTTCATTTTACATTCTGTTTAGTATATATACTAGTCGCCCACCAATCAATTAGTATGTTCTAATTTTTTATATTTTATTTTTAAAACGAGTATGTTCTAATTTTTAAATAATAATATATATAATTTTTAATAATTGTTATATATGACAAAATAAATAAGAATACATAAATAAGTTATTTAGATTCCAACATGATATACAAGAACTGAATTAGCTAGGAACATGCGGGAGGACATTAGATTTGGTTTTGAGGAAGAGAATGGAGATGCTAGCTAGAATAATGTAGTGGTTTTCTAAAAAAAATGTTAAAAAAAAAAAGAATGGAGTATTGGAATAATGGAAAAAAAAGAAGACAAAGATCACATCAAGCCAAAGAGGAATTGACAAAAAAGTAATGGTAAAGTTGTTATTTCTTTAAAAATTGAGGGCAATTAAAATGAAAAAATAAATCAAAAATTAGATTAAAAAAATTCCATCCATTAGATTTGAAATTAATGGTAAGCAATGGGTGCCATTTTTGAGGGGCAAATGGCAACTCCCAAATATAAGTATAGGGGAGATGATCAAAATAATAACCTCAAAATCAGTACATGTCAATTCACCGAAAATTGATGCAGAACATTGTGCTGATAATGTGTTGTGAAAAATCATATATTCTCGTGTGAACAAACATCATTATACCATCTAAACTATACAACTAAAAAGAGAGAGGAGTAAGGAGAAAAGCAAAACACATGAAAATCATTTTCTTTCCATTATTATCAGAATACATACACAATGAGTAAAAACTGTACACTATCCATGATCATAGAAAATAGGATAATGGCCACCAACCATAATATTTTTACAACGTAACAAATCAAACATCAAACATTGTTAACAAAAACCCCATAAATGATAGGTAGGGACGAAGCCAGGAATTCTGTTCAGGCCGGGGGGGGGGGGGGGGGGGGGAGAATATGGATGGACTTAGAAATTTTTTCCAGTTAAGGCGAACACATTAAAATAAAAGAGATATTTAAAAAAAATAAATAAATTGCCTAAGAAATATAAGTGTAAATATTATTGGATATGGGCGAAAAATAAAACACATCGAAACTTTATAAAAATATTCATAACAAAATATGAAACATAATTAATTTGATAAAATAATTTGAATATATATGTATGTATGTGTGTATTAAATATTAAAACAGTTTTAATATATATGTGTATGTATGTATGTGTATTAAATATTAAAAAAACTATTAAAACGTGACTGTGTTAAAACCATAAGGAAGGAGCAAAAAAAAAAAAACTGTAAAACTATATTGACAACCTTAAGAGTTCAAACCCCTGACCTTCATTATTATAACCAAACACATGCTCTACCAATTAATCTAACTCATTTCTTATTGATAATTAATAATTTTTTTATACTAATATTAAAAAATGTACTATATATACATATATACATTTAAAGATTATATATGGGATGGAGTATGGTGATGGGGGGAGGGGGTAGCTAACCCCCTGCCCCCCTGCCCCCTTTGGCTCCGTCCATGATGATAGGAGAGATTATCATAGAACAATTTATAAGTAAAATAAAAATAAAAATCAATATGTCTTATTTTATCTATCATATTTACTATTCATTAATCAAATCAAATCTTTTTTCTTTGTTTTGTTTTGTTTTGTTTTTTTTTTTTGAATTTAGATTTTTTTATTATTATTTTATAGTACTTTTAATGTAGTTTCTAAATATATAAATTTTATATACTAATGCTAAATTTAATGTTAAGAAAAATTGAATTCGAAATAACTTTAGTCAAGTCTCGTTAACCAAATCAGACACATAAAATGGGACGGACAGAGTATGAGATTCTCTTTAGAAATAATGTGTAAGTAGACATATTTTTTCAAAATTATATTATCTAGCTTTGAAAGGGGTGATCGAGTAAGTGGAACATGATTATTGCGTATCTAAAGGTCATCTGTTATATAATGTATACATAGTGCATACCCTCACATAGAGTGTTGTGGTTTTCACTTGTTATCTTAATAAAATATTATATTATCCAATTAAATTAAATTATGAATAAATTTAAGCTGCGTTAATGCATAATCTGATCTAACACGATAAAGAACAGGATTTAGTTTTTAAGCCTATAAAGGAAACAAACAGAGGAAAATAATTCATTAATGAATTACCATTTTGGTTTAATAATATAATTTACAAAATTAATGCAACCATACAAAAAAAGTTAATTTTATATTTGATCCTATGACAATTCACTTTTAACCTTTTTTATTAGAAAATCATTATTTGATCCTAGTATTATTGTGATATGATTATTTTTAATCTTTCATCAACAAAATAGTTAAAATGTTGTTAAATACAAATATATTTAATTTTTTTTTTAATAAAAGTAGATTGAACAACTATATTTTTATGTATTTTTTTTAATAAAAAATTCATAATTGAAGATCGAAATATTCTTATATTTAACCATATTTAAACTGTTTATTGATAAAGGATAAAAAAATGTCATGCCATAGTAATACTATAACTAAAAGTGGATGTTCATAAAAAAATAAAAAATAAAAAAAACTTAAAAGTGAACTGTAACTTATAAATCCATGATAAAAAATGGAATTAACACATATAAAAAGAAAAGAAAAGAAAGTCTTAGGTAATATTGTAATAATACAAAATACCCATGTCCTAAATTGTCCATAAATTCCGTGGTTTCCGTATTTGTTATGCAATCCTCTGTTCCCTTCCCTGCATGATCTCTTCCGCCATTTCACTCTCTTTATCTGAAATCATGGCGACCCGAACCGACAACCAAAACGGTAGACCCGAATCGAGAATCCAGCTCTACCTCAAAGCCGCCGAGTTCTTCCTCCAAGCCAACAACTTCGAGGACTGCCGGAAAAATGCTTGTCGGGCACAAGCATTGGACCCAATCCATCCCGGTCCGACCCAACTGCTCGCTATAGCGGCCGTCATCTCCGCGGCGGAAGACGGCGCCTCAGCTCAGCGCCCCGACTATTATTCAATACTCGGCGTCCCTCGCTTCACCGGAGATTTTAACCTCATTAAAGCCCGCGTCGAAAAACTCTATGCAATTTTAAGCCCTAGGGAAAACCACTTCGCTTTAGCGGAAGAGGCGTATCGGCTCGTCGTTGATGCCTGGTTAGTGCTTTCTGTGCCGGCGAAGAGAGCTCTGTTCGACGAGGAGCTGAAAATGAATCCGAAATTTAGAAGCGGGTCGGAGATTCACAACTTCTGGACTATGTGTCCCTACTGCTACTATGTGTACGAGTATCCTATCGTTTTCAAAGAGTATTGTATGAGGTGTCAGAATGAGAAATGCAGAAGGGCTTTTCACGCGGTGGCGATTCCGCCGCCGCCGCCAGATGTGGCGGCAGCGGGTAAGTTTTTATGCGCAGGGTTTATGCCGATCTACGGTGGAAATGGCATGGACTCTTGGACTCCATTTTCACCCATTGGCTTGGGTGCATTTGCTGAAACTAAGACAAGAAATGAGAATGAGTGTAAAGGGGATGATAAGAGATCACATAAGGTGGAGATAAATGGGCATGGCAGTGATCAAAGGATGAAGAGTGATATGGAGAGTGATGGTGGAAATGTGGTTGTGAAGAAGCGAAAAATGGTGGCAAAGAGCACAAAGAAGATGATGGGTAAGGGGGTGAGAATTCAGGTGATTAATGCTGCTCCATTGGAGAGTAGTACTGCTGATGATAGAGCCTCTGTAAACAATTACACTGGGACTGGGGTAGAATCAGAGTTGATCAATGGAGAGTTGGAGTTTTTTGAGGAAGGTGATGACATTTGTGTTGGTTTCCACCCCAAATTTTGATTGGAGTTCAATCCAATTTCTTATATTTAGAATGCAGATTAGAGCAGCAACTATAGGGAATTGAGAGAGAATTAATTAAAAGTATGGTTCAGACTAATTACAGTGAAAATATATATGAATGGGTAGCTAGTTATGAAAGTTTGGAATCTTGCTGCTAATTATGTGTTCTGTTTTTCTTAAATTATGTGAATTTTAATGTGGTTACTTGATTGGTTTGCCATTAAATGAACTGAAATGTAGTTCAATCTGTTTCCTTTGTTAATTTCTTGGATTGGCCCGGTGGTGTCCACCATTGAAGATTTATCAAGTTCTTGTGTAATCAAGAACTAGTTTTAGATGCCTCAGCTCCCAAACTGAAGTCTTTTTCTAGTCATGCTTGGGATATAAGAATGTTGATTGTTTTCCTTTCTTGGTTATCAATCATTGACTGGAATTAGCTGCTCCCCAGATTCTACTTGTTGACTTCATGAAAATAATCTCTTTATACTGCTTCTACAAGAGCAGAAAATTGAAATACAATGTTGCAATTTGCAGTCTTGAACAAATGTTCATTGTAGTTTGACTGATGAATATTATTCATCACAGGGCATATATGCAGCATGTTCACTTGTGTAATTATATGTAGAGGTGATGTATTTATGTATTACTTGAATCATGTTCAACGATATATATATTTAAGGACTTGAAGTGGTGCTTATTATCTATGGACTATGGTCTATGGGGACATATGGAGTTAGATGGTCAAGGTGGATTATAAATTTGGAATAAGTGAGACACATTTTTTTTATTATTAAATAAAAGGCTAATTCATTAATCATAAATAGAAATGTTTACAATACAAATCGTTAGAATGGTAATGCATTCTTTACCGTCAGACATAGAAACAAATTTCCTAGCAATGTTATAGAAAATTTGGATCGCAGACTCTGTTATAAATTTGAAGCCGAAGTTGTTGGATAAACTCGGCACTTCTTCACAGATCTGGTCAAACATAGCCAAGCTTGACTCTGATGTGACCATTTTATCATTCCACGCTTATGAGGAGAACTCGCCAAAGAAACGAGAGAGAAACACTCGCCAGAGAGACGAGAGAAAACAAACTAGTCAAAGGAACAAATGGATAACGTAGAACCAAAAGAAAACAAAATAAATGGAAAAGATGATAGAAAACCTGTCAGATCTGGAGAGTCTCTGCATTCAGAGAAAACAATCGGAGATGATCTGAGATCTAACGCTTATTCCTAAAACAGCCAGAGAAAGGAATCTACTAATGGCACTGCCAGCTCAACCCTCCATCAGAGCGTTAGCCGGCAACGAAAGGATGGAGCTGCAGGCCCTTTATTGACGAAAGCACTTGTTTGGAGAGAAAGCAGTTGTTGGGGGATCGGAGAAAAAAGCGTACATTTATTTATACAAGTACTTTTTGTAGTTGAGTAATTTAAATGAATTATAATCTCAGAATCCCAGTAAATTCATAACATTCAATAGTCCTCTGTAATGTACTATATAAGATAATGGGCCAACAGAATGAAGGATATACTCAAGAACGTCGTAATCTCAGAATCGCAAAGTGTATTTATACTTGATAAGTTTATTACTAACAACATTCTCATCGCTGCTGAGGCCAGTCACTATCTAAGGCGTAAGCAAGGGGACACGTTGGTTCGGCTGGCTTGAAACTAGACATGTCCAAAGCCTATGACAGGATGGAATGGAATTTTTTAAAATATAAGTTGATGGTCTTGGTTTTGATGATAGATGGATTAATCTGATATGGTTATGCTATGTGTGACTACGGTTAGTTACAAGGTTCTGGTAAATAGTAGTCTTTCTGACACTATCATCCCCTCATGTGGCATTCGACAGGGCGATCTGCTGTCCCCTTATTTATTTATTATATGTGCGGAAGGATCGGACTATCCCTACTTCTACAAAGGATGAAACTCCAATGTAGGATCTCAGGTCTGAAAGTTCAAGAAATGTCCCGTCCATTAGCCATATGTTCTTTGCAGATGACAATCTCTTTTTTCTTCAATGTTGACATCCATGAAGCAATTACATACCATTAAACATATCCTTCGGGCATATGAAAAGGCGTCGGGACAGACATTGAACTTTAGCAAATCCACCATTACATTCAGTTGCAATACTACGGGCTAACTTCATGCTGATATAGCGGCGGTCTTGGGGGTGCCAAGTCTCTCCTGACCACTAGAAAAATGAAGAATTGTTATCAATCCTATTATCCAAAAAAAGAAACATTTGGGAAGCATCTATCTTTAAAAAGTCTTGTGACCAATATATAGCATAAACCGCTATGACTTATTTTCTAAACATGACCAAATTAAATTCTCTAAGTCTTTTAAAACCAAGTCAATTCATTCTCTTCAAGATATATAGTGTTTCCAAGAATCTCACTACCCTTACTACCTTCATAACCCCACCAATAACTAGGAATTCATAATGACGACCTCTATTTCTTTACAAAGATCAATAAGGAGGAACACACTCATGGCAAACGTAGATATAGCTTGAATGTCATTTTTGAGCAACACTTCTCTTCCCGCCTAGATAAAAATTTGTTATTCCAACTTCTAATTCTATCCATCACTTTATCCTTAATGAGACCCAGTATCTCTTTCTTGTTCCTATTTATGAGAGAAGGAAGGTCCTATGCCTTATGCCTTGACTTATAGTGCAAGTTCAACATGCACCAAGTTGTTTGAGTTACCAAAGCTAGCACAACAAGCACAAAACCATCAGCAGTACAGTCTGGAGCTTCATTGCTACAATTTCCTTGAGTTCTCGATCTGCAATTCCACACATCAAAACGGATGTATATATACACACAGCCTAAGTTCAATTTTTCTATAAAAAAAAATCTCAGAACCTGGGCTGTTTCGGCACGAAATCCTTTACGGTGGAGTGGGGAGCTGAGGGGCAAAAGAACTGATCTGATTGGCAAACCATGCACGCTTGTTGCACGTACTTTTACCGCTAATGCTCGAGTATAATGGTTTTGCCACGTATAATTTTAAACTTTCAAATTGACCCCTCGTGTTCCTTTGACTTTCAAATTGTTACCGTCTGTAGTCAAAGTTAACCACTCATGGTCATTCGACTATCAAATTTTAACCGACCATGGTCCTTCCAGTTAGACCACAACTGGTTAAAATTTGAAAGTTGAATGACCATGGGTGGTTAACTTGGACCACAGATGGTAACAATTTGAAAGTCAAAGAATTACGAGTAGTGATCAATTTGAAAGTTTAGCCTAAACGTGTCAAAATCACTATACCCATATGACATTAACTCTTATTACGTACTATTGACTATTCAAAATGGGTTTTCCAAAACCCTCTTTTATTATAACTTGAATATTTTTTGTATTATAAACCTAACAATATAGAATATAGAACGATTTAAAGTCAAATCCAAAGAATAACAGGACAAGGTAACTTGATGAGATGGTTAGCCAAGGTTGGAAAATAGTATACGGTTTGTTCAACATCTAAAAAGATACAAACCTATAAATTATTAAAGTATTCAAATGCATGTAAGTGGTATAACTAACACAAGCCAATCGGACAGACATGCACACCTATATCTCATCAACCTTGACAACGCCTTATAATCTCCCCCTATATATACCATTACAAATTGGCCATATCTATCTCACCATTCAATCTATACTTCTTTCAAGAAAACCTATTCATCACTTCTAGCTAAGCCAAACATCTCAAATTTAGCTAAACAAAGATGGCAACTGCTAAGAATAGCTCCCTCCTCTCCATGATGATGATAACATTGTGTTTAGCAATTAGCATGAACACCAGCGCCGCCACTCGCCGCCTTCTGCAAATTCCCGGCGCCCCACCGTTGCCGACGATTCCCTCTCTGCCTCAACCAACCTTACCACAAATGCCTTCCATTCCTAACTTGCCAACCACCACACTTCCACCATTGCCGGCAATGCCCGCCTTCAACTTGCCTAACATGCCTCTCCCTACCTTGCCTTCTGCCCCAAAGCTCACTCTTCCTCCCATGCCGGCTAACATCCCTCTGCCAACCTCATTTCCCAACTTTCCGGCGGCTATCCCCACTCTTTCTCCACCTCCGTCAAACTGATGATTGATTATTAGTTAATTTACAGTTGTTCACTACTTCGTCATTTCTTATGTGAAGCGGATTGATAAGCTGCACCGGATTGGATCATATATTTTCAATTTAAACTTTTATTTGTTGATTTCCACATACATATTTTAAATCATCTGATCTGATCTCTATTATTAGTGTGTTTAAGGTTGTCATCAATATCCTTGTACTTTGTACCTGTAATGCTCTTTTCAGGCCTTCCTTGATTGTTGGCTGTTTGTTATATATCGAAGATTTGTTTTTTTTTTTTCTTTTTTTGCTCAATCTTTTGATTTCTTCTTTGGCTATTACTATATAATAATATAATAATATAATGTTCTTTTTCAACTGTTCCTATAATGTTCTAATAAATTATAAAAATCATATATAATGCAATATAAATCTTTAAAATCAAGTTTATTTTCATGTTAGTGTACAAATTCATAATATTCAATAGCCCTCAGGCCAATAGCTGCGCTCTCTGTAATGTACTATATAAGATAATGTGCCAAACAGAATGAAGAATATATTCAAGAACGTCGTAATCTCAGAATTTCAAAGTGCATTTATACCTGATAAGTTTATTACTAACAACATTCTCATTGCTGCTGAGGCCAGTCACTATCTAAGGTGTAAGCGAGGGGGACACGTTGGTTGGGCTGGCTTGAAACTAGACATGACTAAGGCTTATGACATGATGGAATGAAATTTCTTAAAAGATATGTTGATGGTCCTGGGTTTTGATGGTAGATGGATTAATCTGGTTATGCTATGTGTGACTACGGTTAGTTACATGGTTCTGGGGGATGGTACTCTTTCTGACACTATCACTCCCTCCTGTGGCATTCAACAGGGCGATCTGCTGTCCCCTTATTTATTTATTTATTATATGTGCGGAAGGACTATCCCTACTTCTACAAAGGATGAAACTCCAGCGTAGGATCTCAGGTCTGAAAGTTGCAAGAAATGTCCCATCCATTAGTAGGGATGACAATTTCAATCCGACCCGTGGATATCCACCCGAATCCACCCCGCATGGATCGGGTTTTTTTGGGTGATGGTGGGACGGTGGGTGGTGGGTCGGGGGTGGATCTTAAAAAAGCAAACCCGCGGTGGGTCGGGTTGGATTCGGGTTCCATGTACAAGACCCGCCTAGAACCCCACCCGACCCACCATGTGTGTATATATATAAAATAGTAAAATAAGTACTAGTATGTAGTTATTTATAAAAGTTTATATAACTTCGTGTATCTTTTTACTATTTTTTATATCAAAACTACTAAGTTTATTTTTGAAAATTAACAATTTAGTTATTATATTTAAATATTTCCATTATTTATGTTTTAGTATCACTAATGGATTTTATTTTTTTATTATGTGTAAATAATTTAAATATTATTTTTTGAAAAACATAATAAGATGATAAGTGGTGGGTATCCGTAGTGGGCACCCACACCCGGTGGGGGTGGGTTCTGAAAAAGTCCACCCGATACGGGTTGGAGGTGGGGGTGGGTGGAGAAAATATAAGGTGGGTCGGGTGGTGGATGTAGCCCTCCCGACCCACACCCGACCCATTGCCATCCCTATCCATTAGCCATATGTTCTTTGCAGATGACAATCTCTTTTTTCTTCAATGTTGACATTCATGAAGCAACTACATACCATTAAACAAATCCTTCGGACATATGAAAAGACGTCGGGACAGACAATGAACTTTAGCAAATTCACTATTACATTCAGTTGAAATACTACGGGTTAACTTCATGCTGATATAGCGACGGTCTTGGGGGTGCCGGTCTCTCTTGACCACTAGAAAAATGATGAATTGTTACCAATTTTATCATCCAAAAAAGAAACATTTTGGAAGCATATACCTTTAAAAAGTCTTGAGACCAATATAATGAATTAGGAAATTGCATAAACTGCTATGGCTTATTTTCTAAACATGCTTAAATTAAATTCTCTAAGTCTCTTAAAACCAAGCCAATTCATTGTTTTCGAGAGAGTGTTTCCAAGAATCCTACTAGTCTTACTACCTTCATAACTCCACCAATAGCTAGGAATTCATAATGACCTCTATTTCTTTACAAAGATCAATAGGAATGAGGAACACACTCATGGCAATCGTAAATATAGCTTGAATGACATTTTTGAGTAACACTTTTCTTCCCGCTTTAGATAAAAATTTGTTATTCCAACTTCTAATTCTACCCATCACTTTATCCTTAATGAAACCCAATATCTCTTTCTTATTCCTATTTATGAGAGAAGGAAGGCCCAAATATTTACATGTCCACTTCAATTCCTACCCCCATACAATTGCTCACACCCCTTTGGACTGCATTAGTAACGTTTCTACTAAAGGAAAAGGAAAATTTGGAGAAATTGATTGTTTGCTCGGACGCCACTGTGGATTGAGAAAGATTATCTTTAAGGACTTGTATTACAAGATGTTTAAGCATCTCTGGCAATCAACACCCCATCAATTCTTCCATCCCTCTCTTGTTTTTTCAAAATAGAAATATGCCCTTCAAGTATCAAGATGAATAGGTATGGTGATAAAGCTAAGGGTCTCCTTGCTTTATGCCTTGACGACTTATGGTGCAAGTTCAACACCAAGTTGTTTGAGTTACCAAAGCTAGCACAACAAGCTAAGCACAAAATGTAAGTATTTTCCCTAATATAATATATTATAATATATTGTATTAATTAAGTGGTTGTGGTGCAAGTGGAATATTAAGTCAGTTAGTGACTTAGTATGTTAGCCAACTCAGGATATTCCGTTAAGCTTTAACTGAATATCTGCCTACATTGATGGCATGTAGGCTTCTAAGCAAAATAGTCCTCCCACAGCTCCCGTGTTCAGAAGACAAGCACCATCGAGTATTCGGGAGAGAAGTGGTAGACAAAACACTAATGTCCATTTTGCAGGTTTACCATCCCAGAGACAATACCAACAACTATGGCTGGGGTTTTTTGTTATTATCTTAACACAAAACCATCAGCAGTACAGTCTGGAGCTTCATTGCTACAATTTCCTTGAGTTCTCTGCAATTCCACACATCAAAACGGATGTATATACACACTGCCTAAGTTCAATTTTTCTAAAAAAAAATCTCAGAACCTGGGCTGTTTCGGCACGAAATCCTTTACGGTGGAGTGGGGAGCTGAGGGGCAAAAGAACTATCTGATTGGCAAACAATGCACGCTTGTTGCACGCACTCTTGCCACTGATGCTCGAGTATAATGGTTTTGCCAGGTATAATTTTAAACTTTTAATTGACCACCCGTGGTCACTTTTAAATTGTTACTATCTGTAGTCAAAGTTAATCACACATGGTCATTCAACAATCAAATTTTAACCCGACATGGTCCTTCTAGGAAGACCACAACTGGTTAAAATTTGAAAGTCAAAGAATCACGAATGGTCAATTTGAAAGTTTAACCTAAACCTGTCAAAATCACTATACCCATATGACATTAACTCTTATTACTTACTATTGACTATTCAAAATAGGTTTTCCAAAACCCTCTTTTATTATAAACTTGAATATTTTTTTTGTATTATAAACCTAAGAATATAGAATATAGAACGATTTTAAGTCAAATCCAAAGAATAACAGGACAAGGTAACTTAATTGATGAGATGGTTAGCCAAGGTTGGAAAATAGTATACGGTTTGTTCAACATCTAAAAAGATGCAAACATATAAATTATTAAAGTATTGAAATGCATGTATGTGGTATAACTAACACAAGCCAATCGGACAGACATACACACCTATATCTCATCAACCTTGACAACGGCTAATAATCTCCCCCTATATATACCATTACAAATTGCCCATATCTCACCATTCAATCTACACTTCTTTCAAGAAAACCTATTCATCACTTCTAGCTAAGCCAAACATCTCAAATTTAGCTAAACAAAGATGGCAACTGCTAAGAATAGCTCCCTCCTCTCCATGATGATGATAACATTGTGTTTAGCAATTAGCATGAACACCAGCGCCGCCACTCGCCGCCTTCTGCAAATTCCCGGCGCCCCACCGTTGCCGACGATTCCCTCTCTGCCTCAACCAACCTTACCACAAATGCCTTCATCCATTCCTAACTTGCCAACCACCACACTTCCACCATTGCCGGCAATGCCCGCCTTCAACTTGCCTAACATGCCTCTCCCAACCTTGCCTTCTGCCCCAAAGCTCACTCTTCCTCCCATGCCGGCTAACATCCCTCTCCCAACCTCATTTCCCAACTTTCCGGCGGCTATCCCCACTCTTTCTCCACCTCCATCAAACTGATGATTGATTAGACGTTAATTTGCAGTTGTTCACTTCATCATTTCTTATGTGAAGCGGATTGATAAGCTGCACTGCACTGGATCATATATTTTACATTTAAACTTTTATTTGTTGATTTCCACATACATATATTTTAAATCATCTGATGATATGCTATTATTAGTGTGTTTAAGGTTGTCATCAATATCCTTGTACTTTGTACCTGTAATGCTCTTTTCAGGCCTTCCTTCATTGTTGGCTGTTTGTTATATATAGAAGATTTGTTTTTTTTTTTTTTTTTTTTGCTAATCTTTTGATTTCTTCTTTGGCTATTACTATATAATATAATGTTCTTTTTTAACTGTTCCTGTAATGTTCTAATAGTGTTAATCTATACAGTTTCCATACAATTTTTGCCCGTAATTCAAAAAATAAATGGTGTGTTAGTTCCAATCATGCCAAATATTCTTTCAAGCATAATACATGTAACTTGATCATTATTGTCGTACACATATATATCAATATATAACTTGTACACACCAAGTAATAGAGAATAAACTAGTAATTTATTAAAATATATATTAATGAATTAGCACGTGAATAAAATAGAAAAATCCATCAAATTCAAATTATATAGATCAAGAGTTTAAGTTAAAACAAGAAATTGATCGAGAAAACTTAGTGAAATCCTGAGTTCCAAACCTTTGCTCCTTATATAGATCTTGAAGCTACGTATCTAAACTCTCTCTTGCCTTTAATGGAGGAATTCCCCTCCAATTTCCACTCTCCTTAGAATTTGGCAATGTTGGATACTTTGATTTACAAAGAAGTCCGCATCTGATATTCGAAAAGTAAATGATATAATAGAGGGTAAAGTAGAAAAAAATAATAATTTTTTTTACTAAAATTAAAATAATATGAACCATTCATTTCAACTAATAATTACACCAACATTTTTTATTTTCTCTTAGACGCCTAACTTTTTTGGCTCTTATTAAGTTTGTAGTTGTAAATATAAAATGTTCAAGTTAATTTAAAGAGAATGTCAAATTTTACATTAACAAAAATATAGTAATATACTCCTTCAAAAAAAAAAATATAGTAATATACAAATATAGTTGTCAGGATTAAGTGTGTCAGGATCAAGTGCTTATTACTAGGTCAAAAATTATAACAAATGCATAACTTTATATTTCTTTATAAATGTGTATCAGTCAGCGTCACGTTTCACTACTAAGATGTTGAATTTGGCACTCCAAGCCCCTGTCAAACAATAGTAACATATATATAATTGATTTATTTATTCAAAATTAAGTGTAAATAAATAATATGAAATAACTATTTGTATCTAATTCCAAATACAACAATAATTTTTTTGTGTACACGATACTAGAATTTAACTAATAGCTATTTTGGAGTGGGTAAACAATAGAAAAATGAATTTATCCATGATTAGTATTAAATTATTTTTTTTCTCGTAAATAACTTTTCAACTCCTAAATATTACATTTTGATTTAAAAATATTACTTCCTAAATTTTTATTCAAAAGTATCATATTTTTCCTTATAAGTACAACAATTTTCCTCATAAGTAACAATTGGTTGATCCCTAAATAGTATTACACTTTGAATCATAAATATTACATTTCCGTCTAGACTCAACTTGTCTCGAGAATAACATTTGACGTTGGACTAAAATACCGATGACATTTTTTCGAATTATCATTTTGGTCGGAAACACATTTTCCGACCAATAACTCCCGTTTTCCGTTGGACGAAAATAGCGAAATTTCTTGCCGTGCGTTAAGACAATCTCACAAGGGAGACATTCATTTTTAAATTAAGGAATAATATTATATTAATTTTTATTGTTTCAATAAGAAGGTCACACAGCGCGCGCGCACACATATAATATATTACTCCGTACTACCTTAGCTTCTTTTATTATAAACTTGAATATATTATAAACCTAACAATATAGAATATAATACAATTTTAATTTGCCCTTATAGGCAACTCAATTAATTGCAGAGATAAAATTCGTTACAAAAGATTAACAATCAAATCTCACCCGTGACAATGTGGGAGTAACCTCTCAAAATGAAGAAACTTCTTGCATGTACACACTGAGCAAAAGCCTCCACAAACTCTCGGGTAAAGATGTGGGGGCGCTTAAAGTGAGTGGGCTATCCCACTTTTGTCACAATAAAATTTTAAGTTAGAACCAAACAAGAACAAAACAAAGTAACTTGATGGGATATGGTTGGCAGGTTGGAAAATAGTATGCGGTTAGTTCAACATCTAAAAAGTTGCAAACCTATAAAATTGTAAAGCTTTCAAATGCATGTATGTGGTATAACTAACACAAGCTAAGCCAATTAGACAAACATGCTTATGAACAGTAGTCGTTGCACACCTATATCTCATCAAATCCTTGACCACGGCTTATGATCTCCCCTATATATACATTTCCCTTTACAAATTGGCCATATCTCACCATTCAATCTACACTTCAATTCAAGAAAACCTATTCACTTCTTAGCCAAACATCTCAATTTTAGTTAAACAAAGATGGCTACTGCTAAGAACACCTTCCTCATCTCCATGATCATAACATTGTGTTTAGCTATTAGCATCAACACCAGCTCCGCCAGTCGCCGCCTCATGCAGATTCCCGGTGCGCCACCGTTGCCGACGATTCCCTCTCTGCCTCAACCAACCTTACCACAAATGCCATCCATTCCTAACTTGCCAACCACCACACTTCCACCTTTGCCGGCGATGCCCGCCTTCAACTTGCCTAACATGCCTCTCCCTACCTTGCCATCTTCCGCCCCAAAGCTTACTCTTCCTCCCATGCCGGCTAACATCCCTCTCCCAACCTCACTTCCCAACTTTCCGGCGGCTATCCCCACTCTTTCTCCACCTCCATCAAACTGATGACTGATTATATTCGACGTTAATTTACAGTTGTTCATCTCGACATATACTATTATTATTAGTGCGCTTAATGTTAAGTTGTCATCAATATCCTTGTACTTTGTATCTGTAATGCTCTTTTCAAGCCTTCTTTGATTGTTGCCTGTTTGTTATATATAGAAGATTTGGTTTCTTTAGTTTTATTTTATATTTTGGCTGAATCTTTTGACTTCTTCTTTGGCGCGCTATTACTATTACTATATAATAATATATATAATATATAATATAATGTTCTTTTTCAAGTGTTACTTAAATGTTCTAATGGCTAATCTATATAGTTTTCATGCATACAATTTTGACCTGTAATACAAAAATTAAATGGTGTGTTCCAATAATCATGCCAAATTTTCTTTCAAACATAATACATGTATCAATATATATATATAACTTCTACACAACTACTAATAAACTAGTCATTCATTAAAATATTAATGAATTATTAACACGTGAATGAAATAGCAAAATTCATCAAATTCAAATTATATATATAGATCAAGAGTTTAAGTTACAGCAAGAAATAGATCGAGAAAACTTAGTGAAATCCTAAGTTCCAAACCTTTGCTCCCTATATTGATCTTGAAGCTAAGTATCTTAACTCTCTCTTGCCTTTAATGGAGAAAATCCCCTCCAATTTCCACTCCCTAGAATTTGGCACTATTGGATACTTTAATTTAATTTACAAAAAATGTCCACAATTGCTATTGGAATGCATGTTTTGGGTGAAACTCTACTTTTACTTTAGAAGAACATATATATTTATATGGAGCTTTATTTAACATAATTGGTAAAAATAAAATATATACATCATATTTTATATATGAGTGTTACATATCAATGAAAGATTTTCTATCATTCCACACCACACAGTATATAGAATTTATAATAATTATCATGAGAGATAAGTATGTACGGATCGGATGATATGTATCAACATATTATTAATTTAAAAGTTATAAATTAATTATATATAATAAATACAATATATTAAAATTTCATAAAAATAATATAAAATATTATCAAAGTATTGTTGGAAAAATAGCATTAAAATGGTACAATTATCAGTGGGGTCCACTTCCGATTTGGATCGGGTCAAAGTGTATTCGGGTTCTTCGTAGTGAGACGAAGAGATTGATATATTGTACGCTCAAAACGGATAATGGGTGAATGAGATATTGATTCTCAAAGTAGACCCATTGAGTTGGAAAAATGAAGGGAAAAGTGAGCTTTGTCCCACATTGGTTTGGAAAGAGGATTTGACCCCCCTTATATACAAGAGCTCTTTTAAAGCTTGTAGAATTGTATAGCATAGAGGCTCTCTCTTGCGGGGGCAGGGGGCAGTGCAAATCAAATTCCAACTAGAAACGAGATCGGATAGGCTTGATTCAAGCCCGAGCTCGTGTGCGCGAGCACAAATGTCTGGTTGAAGGCCAACGGACTAATGTGGGATTAAATTGCTCTGTTACAGAATTAATTCCAGATGTAATTTTTGAATTTAAACCTCAGGTACTGGCTTGCTGTTTCAGGAGTTTCAAAATTGGTTTTAACACCAAATTAAAAATTGGTTTTAACACCAAATTAAATGCCATGATGAATGCTATTCATTCTTTGATCCCTATATAAGAAGGGGTAGAGGGAGCAGATTTTCTTAAGCACGAAGTAGCAGAACACACAACACGAAATTAAGTTTTTCAGCTTCAAAACACTTCTGCTTCTACTCATTTCTTAAGCCTAACTGTGTTCATGGCTTTGCTCCGTTCGACGGGTTCGTTCGTTTGGGTGCTCGAACGTCGAACCGTAGCGCGTTTTATCCTGGGAAACCTAGGCCACGACACTCCTAGCACTTTTGGGAGGTGGCAAATAAGGTTTTAAGGAAAGAGTGGTCTCTTGACTCAAGCTAAAAACCCTTACCCAAACACGAGCCATCTTTCCTTCTTTCAGTTTTGGATTATGCTTCTAAACAAAAATCCTTCCTTTCTGTTTTAGTTTGGTTGGAATTATAATCTGTGGATTATAAATTCCATTTGGTTGATATGTATATATCTTTTCTGTAGATATTCATGCATATAACCATGGTAGTCTGATTTATATATATATTTGTATGTATATATATATATATATATATATATATATATATATATATATATATATATATATATATATATATTTCGGATAGACATGCATATCGAATAATATTTTATATACTTTCATGTGTGTATATATAAATATTATTTTACGATATTAAATCGACACCAACAAGTATTGCTTGGAATTACACTAATTTTATGATATAATATAGAAGGTTTATTTTAATTTTAAAGAGTGTCAAATTTCACATTCACAAAAATACACAAATATAGTCTTTAGAATCAAGTGTTTACCACTATACCAAAAGATATAATTAGCTAATAGCGAAGACACAACTTTATTTTCTTATACTTGTGTATCATTCAGAGACATGTTTCAATGACAGAATGTTAGGATTAGATATAATTAGCTAATAGCGAAGACACAACTTTATTTTCTTATACTTGTGTATCATTCAGCAACATGTTTCAATGACAGAATGTTGGGTTAGATATAATTAGCTAATAGCGAAGACACAACTTTATTTCCTTATACTTGTGTATCATTCAGCGACATGTTTCAATGACAGAATGTTGGATTTGGCCCTCCAAACCACTGTTCAACAATAATAACATATAGATATATAATTGATTTTATTTATTTAAAATTAAGTGCTAAATAAATAATATGGAGTAACTATTTTTATCTGATCTAATTCCAAATGCAACAATAATTGTTGTTCACCCAGCTCAATACTGTCATATTACATTTTTTCTCATAAGTATTATACTTTCTCCCATAAATAACAATCTATTTATCCTTGACAACATATATAGAATATATAGTACAGTTTTATGTTAAAGCCAAAGAATAACTGGATGGGATGTGGTTGGCCAAGGTTGGAAAATACTCCGTAGTATATATGGTTTGTTCAACATCTAAAAAGTTGCAAACCGCCTATATAAATATATATAATTTTAAAAGTTTTTCAAATGCAGTGGTACAACTAACACAAGCCATGAAGCCAATCAGTGAGACAGAGATGCTTATGCACACCTATATCTCATCAAATCCTTGATCACTGCTTATGATCTCCCCCTATATATACATTCCCCTTTACAAATTAGCCATATCTCACCATTCAATCTACACTTCTTCAAGAAAATTAAACCTATTCACTTTTAAGCCAAACATCTGAAATTTAGCTAAACCAAATGGCAACTGCCAAGAACAGCTTCCTCCTCTCCATGATGATGATAACATTGTGTTTAACAATTAGCATGAACACCAGCTCAGCCAGTCGCCGCCTCCTGCAAATTCCCGGCGCCCCACCGTTGCCGACGATTCCCTCTCTGCCTCAACCAACCTTACCACAAATGCCTTCATCCATTCCTAACTTGCCAACCACCACACTTCCACCTTTGCCGCCAATGCCCGCCTTCAACTTGCCTAACATGCCTTCTGCCCCAAAGCTCACTCTTCCCCCCATGCCGGCTAACATCCCTCTCCCAACCTCATTTCCCAACTTTCCGGCGGCTATTCCCACTCTTTCTCCACCTCCATCAAATTAATTATTTAATTAATTAATTTTCAGCTGCCCACCTTTCATCATATCATTTCTTATATCAAACGGCTCGAGTTGCACCGATTCATATATTTATGTTTTTAAGCTATTTACTGTTATTAGTGCCTTAGTTTGTCATCTATATTTCTTTGTATTTGAATTATGTTGTTGCTGTATGTAATGTTTTTTCATTGATTTGAGTGTTGGCTATTTGTAATATAAGGAAGATTTCGTCTTTATCTTGCTTAGTCTCTTGATCACGCATATTGTCTTCACTCTTCAACTATACATACTGTTCAATATTTCATTGTAAGACATTAAAACGACATCTTTTGGGATATCATATTACAAGACACTTGCAAGTTAGTAAGAAAATATAAAAATAACCCATTTTCATTTATTAATTATAGCATATAATATGTTAACTACAGACTACTATGTCTTAAATTTATTTACAACACATAATTTATTAACGGAAGACACATTCGCAATGTAACACAGTCTATGATATAACAATCAGTTTAAGACTTAATTGGCTCATTATTGTGGTTGTAAGCATGGGCTTGGACCAAGTGTCCGGCAAGCTCCGTGGCGCCGACCAACGAAGACTTAACACCGATTTAGGAACTAAATTTCACCTCAACACACACTTTTATTTTAATAAAATTACAGGTCACCTATATGGATTGACAATCTGGAGGAAACCTGCTAAAAAAGTTCATCGAACAATTTTAAGAGGTAAGTGTGTCCGGTGGAGTAGATGAGCTTATTTGACGCTTCTGCCTTTATTCATTAATCCACAAAATTGTATGGTCCAAATTTATTCAGGAGGATGTAAATCACGAACCTTGGTCTCTTACCCCAAATATTGTCCATTAAACCATTGAGTTAAATCCGTGTGGGTATTGATGGCATCCTTATGTTACAGTTACGTTGTAGACGCTATGGCCAGCACTACTGCCATTAATTAATACCCCAAAGTGTAGCCATGATTTACGGTCTTGCCATCATCGCCATGCAGCCTGCAGGCCATTCATCATCTCAGCCTCAGCCCTCAGCTGCTAGCTGCACAAACAGGAGAAACTACACCTTATAACAATGTCGTTTACTTTAATTTCCCTTTCTTAGTGGTGTATGTTCAATAAATAGAAATTCATTTCCAGCCATTGTTAACCGAATTAATTAATTTTGTTAATTTGGAAAATAATCGAATTAGTACGTAGTAAATATTTTTTTTTTTTTTGAGGAAAGTAAATAAATTTGTAACATATATTATCTATTTTAGAATTGCAATTCCAGAGCCTACGAAATTAGAATTTCATAGTAAATGATAATTTTGCTCTTATTATTATTATTATTATTGTTGTTGTTGTTACCAAAGGTATTTTAATTTTTATTCCCTTCTCCCCTTTTAATTTCTAGTAATTTTATTCATGCTTACCAATCAATGAAATTTGAATTCTTAGTGTATTCTCATTTTATTTTTTTTCACAAAATTATAATTTTATTCCCTTTAATTTCCTCCTTCCAACTAAACACCTAAGTATTGGATCAAGCTAATTAAGAAAGATAAAACTTCAAAGTGATTTGGAGTTAGTTAAAGCCAAAGAATAAGAAGACAGTTGTGTAATATAATGGTGTAGTTCGTTGGAAAATATATGCATGGGTTGTTCAACTTCTGACCAGACAAGGAAATTATAGAAGTAGTACGTATTCAAATGTAGTCTAACAAACACAAGCCAATTAGGATAGATTAATGTTTATGCACAACTATAACTCATCAAATCGTTGACTATGGTCTCTAATCTCCCCCTATATATACTTTATTTCCCTTTCCAAACCTCTTATCTCACTACCTCAAAGTACCATTGAATCAACAACAGCTGATTCAAGAAAACCTATTCATCACTTTAAGCTAAACACCTCAAATTTAGTTAAACAAAGATGGCTGCGCTCAAGAACACCTTCCTCCTCTCCCTGATGATAACATTGTGTTTAGCAAGCATGAACACCAGCTCCGCCACTCGCCGCCTCCTGCAAATTCCCGGCGCCCCACCATTGCCGACGATTCCCTCTCTGCCTCAACCAACCTTACCACAAATGCCATCCATTCCTAACTTGCCAACCACCACACTTCCACCTTTGCCGGCCATGCCCACCTTGAACTTGCCTAATATACCTCTCCCAACCTTGCCTTCTTCCGCCCCAAAACTCACTCTTCCTCCCATGCCGGCTAACATCCCTCTCCCAACCTCATTTCCCAACTTTCCGGCGGCTATTCCCACTCTTTCTCCACCTCCATCAAACTGATTTAATCAATTTTCACCTGTCCACCTTTCATCATTTCTTATATCATACCCAGAATATTCATGTTAGACCAGCACGGGTAGCTCAGTTGGTTCTTGGTTGAGACAGATTGTGGACAAGACTTTGTTGATCTCAAGATATTATAAACCATTTACTGTTGTTAGTGCATGCTTTAGTTTGTCATTAATATATTGCATTTGTTTGTACCTGTATTGTGTTCATTGATTGTGCGAGTACGTGTAAGAGTGTTGATTGTTTGTTATATAAAGTACAGAAGATTTGGTTTCGTGCTCAATTTCTTGACTTCTTCTATCTGGCTAGCTATTATTAGTAGTGTATTGCCATATTAACAGGGAAATTAAATGTAGAAAGAACCAAAATTTTATTTATTAATCACAGATTTTTCTTTGATTTCCATTACAAGTGGAAACACGTACTGTGACGGTTGGTTTGGTTCATGAATGTATAGTACGTCTTCGTCGTCTATGGAGAAGTAAGCTTGGGCTCATAATTTTTGTTATAAGCTTTGGCTTCTTCAACGCTTCGGCAGCAATATTTACATTTTCCGGCAAAGTTAAAGCAGCAGCCCAGCTTGCATCCCCCAAACGCACCCTTCCAACCCCAACCATGCCCCTTATATGGCCAGTTATAGCCGATGCTATGACCGGCGCCGCCTTTTATACCCCATTTGTACCCATAATTTACCGGCTTCATGTCACCGGTGTGCTGCCCATCCGCCCCAACAGCTGCCGCCTCACCACCCTCAATCGCTGCACAAACAACAAAAAAAACCATATAATTATACATACAAAAGTAATCTATCTGGAGCAACCCAGTCAAGTTGGTCGAACCATTCAACTCAGTAACCACAAGGTTTCACAACTTGTGGACGGCCCATTAGCCTATGTCTTCTTGGTTTGAGCCGGTCAGCTACCGGCAACTTAGGCTGGTTTACCTCCTTAAATTCCTTAATTTGTCGGCTAGGGTTATAAGACATGACCTAAAGCAGGAGAAGCACCCAAAAAATTAGTAAAAATACTACCATTGGACTTACTTTTTGGTGTTTCAGCACCTAAAGCAGGAGAAGCGGACAGAAGAGCTATAAAGAAGAGAGCTTGGAGAACCAAATTGGTGTCAGGCTTCATGATGAGCTCTTTGAGAAGGTATGAATTCAAGAAAGATTAATGGAAATACAGATGAAGAAGTAGGGTGTCTTGAGTCCCAATTTATAATGGAAGAAGAAGCTCACTGTGGGACGCAAACTATTCAAAGCTTTGCTAAAAAGTCAAGAACTGTAATATTGGTAGCGGATCTGCAGATGATATAAATGCAGCTGAGGCCATTGATATGGAAAACCAAGGCTTTTATTTTATTGAAACCGACAAGACAAAACAGTTCAGCTTCTTTCACCCAGCATGAAATGAGTAATAATACTATATATAGATATAGATACTCCCAGAGATGAGCAAAAAACACTTGTTAATGCAAGTACGCAACAATAATTAGTCGATCATTTAATTAATTAAACTAATCAAAAAATAAATTTAAGAATCAACTAATCATAATACGTTGAGTCAAAGAGTCTTGGAGTACCGCTATATATGTCTGCAACTTCTTCTTCATCACTAGGATGGTCAACTCCATGGATCAACCTTCAGCCTACTGCAGTTGGGGAAATGGGAAGAGCCTACTGCAGTTGGGGAAATAGGAAGTAGGTGCAAGTAAATTGTCAATCGTATAAAACTCTCTGGTTCTATTATAAACGATAAAGTATTCTTGTCCAATCTGCGGGAAATATTTGGATACAGAAAAAAAAAAAAAGTTTGTTGTATATATCTACCTAGGATTCTAGGAGGGTGCTATCTCCAAAAAACTATAGTAACTTGGAATCAGGAATACAGAACATGGCCTCAATTCTCTGTAAGACAGAGCGTGCTTCCTTGAGAGTGAGCTCGTAAGAATATTTCAGCGCTTGAAAATTGCAATATCCCGACTGCAATTGGTTTTGATAGCTTCCTCTAAACTTTGCATGCGGTCAAAATCAACTTTGAAAGTAACCATCGTGACACCACCTTTCCCTGTATCGTAATCCTGTTTAATGTCTTCAACTTTATAAGTTTGGAGCTGCAGCAAGTCACCATGGAGAAGGGCAAAATTAATGAAATGAGAAAGACAAGAGAATCAAAACTCGCGTAACAGTTTATTATAGTTATGAGAGAGCAAAGGTTCGTAAATCAACTTTATAATTGCTGCTCATACTACATTCAGATATTAATATATGAAATCATAACGTAAAGAGACCCTGTTACCTTGGAAATGAATATGTTGACAAATACTAGAAAGGAATTTAGCGGTTTCAAGCTCACACTGAACTTACCTGGTGGTACAGAACCCCTATAAGATCAAAAGGAACCTCTACACCCATAGGAACCTGCAAATTGAAGATCATTTCCATCAACAACAGTACTGAAGCGAACAAGATCGAAATTTAAGAAATACATTGCATAGTTTTAGAGTAGAACATAATATTTTCCACGGAAAGTGGAGAAAGAAGAATCCCGAAGCAATCCATACCTTAGATTTTACAAGCTGCGTAGGAGCATTTCTCAAGCATTCTGCAGCAGTTCCTCCATAAGCTCTAACTAGTCCGCCAGTACCAAGTTTAATTCCTCCAAAATACCTAAAATAAACGGAGGTGAAATACTGTTTTCTACTAGGAAAGAAGTGCCCTATAATATCCTTCATCCAACCCAACTTCAAAATTCTAGTTTACACTTTACAGTGAGCGTATATCATTCACCATTAATCACACACACACAAAAAATGTACTACCTGATTACAACAACCATGACTCTGTCTAATCCCGAAGAAACAATTGCAGAATGTATCGGTTTGCCAGCCGTACCAGATGGTTCACCATCATCATTACTCCGGTATTGATCCCCGACCTATATTGAAGACAGTCGATACTCAATAACAATGATATTGTAACAAATTTTCAATTGTTCAGGAACCTTATAGATTCAAGAAAATGGTTACTATTTTTTACACCTAGGGTAACAATCTAGTAATATACAATCATGCAATTCCTTGGGCAAAATTCCCAAACTTGCATTTATTTTAAAATAAGTAGCAGCTGAAGCTCGGAATAGAAATATTTAACTGAAATCACAAACAGTAAAGTGTTCATTCCTGCACTAATTAGCCACACTGAGTCAATGAAGCAAGATTTCTAAAAATTTTATGTACAAAAGAAGAGTACAAAACTAGGGTTAAGAAGTTTACCTTGTACGCCCAACAATTATGTGTGGCACGAGGATCCCCAACCTATGTATGTACAACAAAAACTGAAGTAAAGATCATTTCAAAAATAAACTTAAAAATGAATAAATAAAGAACCGTCATTAAAAAAATTTTAATTTTGCAAAGATTACCTCGGAAAGGAAGGATTCGGCTTGGCGTTGGTCGGAGATATGGCCAGCAATGGCGATGAATTTGCTCTTCTTGATCTCCTTTTCGCAAGTGAATCTGCCTTCAATTGTTGTGAATGCTCCTTGGGTGTTGGGATTGGAGCTGCTGCTAGCGATGACCATTGATCTCTTGGCGGTTGGGAATGTTATAGGCGAGGAGAGAATGAGGAGGGGGCGGCGGCGTAGATAGCAGCGGTGGTGGCTCAGCCGTGGAAGAGGGATTGGGATTATGGAGATTATCAAATTAGTCTTTCCGGCAGCCACATGCATTCTTCTGTGGGCCGCTCTCACTTCTCGATTTGTTCCTATTCAATTTCATATTTTCATTACATACTTTTGCCCCTTTGTAATTCATGAATTTTTGATCTTTTGTGTTCTCATATTAACAAGAGTAGAGTTGCTCCCAAATAAGAGAGCAAATGTCGCTTTGGCCGAGTGGTTAAGGCGTGTGCCTGCTAAGTACATGGGGTTTCCCCGCGAGAGTTCGAATCTCTCAGGCGACGTTGCTTGTTTTTATTGTTCCCTAAACTTACAGTGTTTATAGGCAGCCTATACTCTATACTCTATAGAGTCTAATCTACCAGAAGATTGCAGCCTTAGAACTCTCTTTTCCTTCCAATTCATTTTCCTGCTAGAAATTTGTATTCCCAGATCAATCTATGATCGTTGCAAATTTCTATATATATATAGGTTTATCCGAAGTTTATGCTATTTTCATTTTCCATTGAATTTGCGCTTGAAGATTGGAAGTTAATGCTATTCACTGAATTTTGTTTGGAAGCTCATAATACTTTTTAAAAAATATATATATTGGCAATATAAATCCAGAGTTCAATTTGTTCAATCACATTATTTACACCATACTAACCCAGAAATCAAGTATACAAAACTAGTAACATGGATTCTACCACACTCTGCACCTCAGAGCTAACAAAACTGGGCGAATCTTGTCTTCAAACCGAGATAAGATCAGTGAGTTCTTCGTGTTTCTGTTTCCAGTTATCAATCCGCTATTTGTTGATACCAGCACGAAGACAAGATCAGTGCTTTCTTCATGTTTCAGTTTCCAGATACCAATTCGCTATTTCCTGATACCAGCAAGAAGACGAGATCAGTGCTTTCTTTGTGTTTCTGTTTCCAGTTATCAATCCGCTATTACGAGCAAAAATCATTGCACCAACTGCTTCAGCAACCGGCCAGTAGGAAAAAGATGACAACGGACCATTCAGATTATGTATATATATGTATGTATATGCTGGCTATCGTTTAATAGAAGAAGTTGCTGTCTTTGTCATTCACCGCATCCTTGCAGAGCATCGACCGAACTTCCAGAATTGATCTCGGTGGTTCCAAATCCCTCTCTTGAAGTGCATTGCCCAACAGTTTTTGCATGTGGGATGCGAATATATCTTCTAAAATCTGTGCAAGTAAAAAAGGTCGATGCATATATCTTAGTAGTCTGTGGCTAAATTCGTTATTTTAACAGAGCATTTGTCGTCTAATGAAGAGATGATAGGTTAGATACGCAATCAATGAAAGCTGTACTTACGGATATGGCAACACGAGAGGCTTTATACCAGGATCTGCTATCTTTTCTGTCCTCCAAAAACTTTAGGACGTCCTGAAATGAGAAAGGGAAATTCAGTTTAAAAAAAAAAAAAAAAAAAGTGTAAAACGAGGTAAAGCTATTGAGATTGCTATCAAGTAATAACGGGCATCCACCTGTCCCATTCGATCCCAAAATCCTCGACAAATAATTATGAAAACTTGAGTTTCAAATACTGCGTGAAGTTGATCGATTATATTTTCCAGCATATCCTTCAAAGGTTGCATCCTATTACGCAAATCAGATTCCACTATTCCCTCCTTTGCGTCTTGGATTATCTTCTTCAATTTCGTAGGACTCTGCAACTTCGTCTATTTACAGAAAGAGCATAGTTAAAACCCGTATATGATCTGGCACCAAACTCCGTTATGCAACAAAAGCGATAAGAACATGTAGATTCGGTGCGACAATAGATACCAATATCCACTCTATAACTATAGGGCGAATATTTTAAATAAAATTGGTCGAGTAAATAAAATCAATTATAAACTAATACCCACATTTTCAACGAGCTTATCCATCAAAGCTTGCATATAACCTCTGAATTTGGTTCTCAGCATTATTGTTATTTCACTGATACGCTCTCCCGGGACCATATTGCTCCCATCAGGAAGACAAGAACCCCATGACTTGAACTGAGCTTCTATCTGGGGGCGTAGAATATCAAGCATTCTTTTCATGGAATTCAAAAGAATTCCCAACTGATCGAAACAAACAAACAAAAAAGATTCAACATATCGTTTCTTGGAAATCAGATAAAACAAAAATGGAAAAAGAAACGTTAGCACAAACGTAATAATATAGCTCACCTCATTGGAAACCGTAAAAGGGCACACGGTCCCTTTAGTCATTTTCTGGACATATTTCAAACCTATTTTAAGCGGCATCCCATTTTCTTTGAGCGGAGATAGAACATCAGCATAATGTTTGTCCAAAGTTTCCATAACAGCCTTCTCAACATCTGCTATAGCCTATTGAAAGACGCAAATTAGAATCAACAAATTAAGACAACAGATCGAAAGGAAAGAGAAACCGAACTAAAATCGTTGGGTGTACATACACTTTCTAAAGGAAAAATATATTCCGGCCAGCGACTGATGATAACATCATATTCACCCAAAGTCTCCTTCAAGAGATCATAGATTTCGTCAATAAAAGGCGTTGTTGAAAGACGTGCATCCATGCCAGACCACTTTATCTGTGCAACGAATTCAATAGCAGTACAAAATGCATTGTAAGATAAATATATGAATACCTTTTGTTAAGAGTCCCACATCTATAAAATAAGAGAGAACATATGGGTTTATAAGGTCATGGGTTAGACTAGCTAATTGGTTGGATTTAATCTTTTAGTGTGGTTTGGCCCATGTGCATTATAGCCCAGATGAGTGACCCTGGCCCAATCTTAAATTATAACATGGTATCAGAGCCTGTTCGGGGGTATCTTTTACTGTGGTTTGGCCCATGTGCATTATAGCCCAATCAAGTGACCATGGCCCAATCTTAAATTATAACACCTTTCTCACTATAAATACGTCGGGCCATCATCTTCAACTAGAACAATGTTATACCTTATCAGGTTTGCACAAATCAAGCAAAGCAAGGCGTTTGTCATGGATCCAGCGGATTATGTACAAGTTGAACAATTCTTTTGCATCTACTCCTCCTTTGACATGACTACAAAAGACGGTTTTCGATTAAGAAAAGATGAGTCACATGAAGAACAAATAATATAGTATGGGACCCGGGGAGGGAAGATCAGAACCTAATATTCCAAGAAATAAGATCCTTTTGAAAATCAGCCGTCGCAATAACAAGCCCCGCCACGGGAGATGATGGGCCAGTGGGAGGACATGCAACAAGGAAAGCTCGCAATCTGTTACAAAGCTCTGCACTATATATAGCCGAAGAAAGGTTTGGAAGGTCTAAGAAACTGCAAAAGAGGACAAAGACGCACTGTTAAGTACTAAAAAGAAGACATTATTATAATAAAACATGTGAACAAACACTAATCATCAATGACAAACCTAAATACAATGAAGCCAACCAATTAAAATTCAATAACCCTATTTACTGATTTACAAATAAAAGTAGCCATGATATGAAGGAAAAAAAAAAAGAAAAAAAAAGGAATACCTTGGGAGAACATCTTTACTATGGATCTCCAAGTCGGTCAGAATTTCATTTCTTATATTCTGACAAAGTGAGACCATTTTTTGATAAGCTGTCGAATTTGCCACAGGATCCATCATCTTCTCGTTGTTGATGGAGACAAATTCATCAGTCTCTGTCAAGTGATGTTTCGATCTCTTCTTTGCAGCAGTCTAGATGAAAAAATTGATAGATCGAGTAAGGAATGTTAGATACGTCCAGTTTTTGTTAAATTTGTTATACATACATACACAAACATATATATCGAGTATAAAAGATAAGTAGTTTCGAAAACCTGAAAATATCGACAAAGCTTCAGTTGTGCCTCGGGAGAAAGTATATCGTGCAGAAGAATATAGAGCTTTAAAGCAGAAGCAAGAGCAGGAGGTACAAGGCCAGTAGCACGTCTGAATATATCAATTATCCCAGTTGGCAGTGATTCATCGAGAGACTTGTAGTTTTCAAAAGCCAAAGCAATGATCTCCTCAACTTTCTCGGAAACTTCTCCTAACATACGGTTCTGGACCATAATCAATAGGACACGCAGCATTAGAAACATATGATATATGAAAGATACCTACAAATCAGCATTAGAAAAATGTGCCTAGACCTTGTGGTCTAATAGCACCCGGGTTGGACTCCCATATGGGAGGTTGTGAGTTCGGGCCTCAGTGGAGGCGCGTTATTGGCTCTTTGTGCTTCGGTAGGTTGAGAAAGTAGTTATGAACAGATACTACATTGTAATAGAGTCAGTAGCATTAGAAAAATGTCTAACCTCTTGGTGACTTAAGCTATTTTTCGTTCTCCCTTTCAAGACCACAGGTAAGATCAAATCATGCACCAAATCCAAACAGTCTGAAGTTGGTGTGGCAACATCCATGATATACGAAAGATACCTACAAATCAATAGAACTTCTATTTATTATATTAACAAATATAAGTACATGCATTTGAGTTAGATTATGATTCCCTATCCCAGTCTCCCTGAGACTCTCTCTTTAGTCTTTACATTTACCTGTCATCTGTATATTTGTAATAACATTCATTCAATACAATTCTATCAGTTCTCATCTGGTATCAGTTAAGCTAGGGTTTCTTTCCAATGGCTGACGGATCTATTGAATCTTCACACAAGTAATATACTTGGCAAAAGCATACTCTACCTCAGCTTGGTATATGCTTCTGAGACCCCGTAATATGATGCAAATTCATATACCAGCCACTTCCAAGAACCATGAAGCAACAAATTTCTCTGTTGAAACTGTTGGACTTTCATCGCTGCCTCCAAAACACAGTCATATGCGATAGTCTCTGCAACAGTCCCACACTACACGAAAAATCGAAGAAACATTTAGGCAAGACTACTCACAAGATCATACAGGAAAAAAGACTTAACTCACCTTAGTATCGCGATTTTCATCAGCACTGGTAGAATAGTTTATATACAATTGTACTCTTCCAACAAGATCATGCTCTGGTTCATGGTATATGGGCCACCAACGAAGCTTCTCTCCCTGCAATGATGCGATTAATATAGTGTTCGTGTACCATATTATTACAAAAAGTTCAATTCTTGACACTAAGCTCGAGAAAAATCATACCTGATCATCAGAAATATCAGCTACCTGGGCTATTGCACGGCCACAATAAACTCCTTTTGAATCATGCACTTCAATGATTAAGTCATCTCCAATTCCGTCTGGTAAGCTGTATTCCAAGACAAATCAAGTTTAACAGCCAATCTTTAGAAGATACAGATTCTAGCTTATGAAAACGGGTAAACAGGAAACGAACAATATATGACTTTCTGTGGACCCAGCCTGCATTTTCACAGCATCATCCTCAGGTAAGCTCTTAACCCGCAGTGAACAAGAATAGATTTCTGTCATCAAGAGCCAAAAAATGATTTAGCAATTTGGCATAGCAAAGTACATAAACTAGCACTACCTGGCACCAAGAATTGAGGTAAAAGTATGATAAAGAATACTCTTAATAATTAGTAGAAGACAACAAGAATTAAGCTATGTATCTTTCTTCTAAGTTTGGAGTATACCTGGCACCACTTCATATGATTTTGAACTGCTTCTAAAGGTAGTAAAACCAAGTTTTATAATCCCGGACACATCTTTCATATACCGAGTACCAGAATGCAAATAAACCAAGCTTTTCTGTGAAAAAGTGGCATTTATAGGAAGCCTAGGAGCAACACGAATTTTCCTTATTGCTTCCCACTCAGAACTGACCGTAGACTTTATATTGGAAATCTGAAAGCGAAGTGAATCAATTTTTTCTTTTGATGGTTTTATAGAAGAAAAGCTGCACCCAGTTGGTGGTTCTAATCCCATTTTCACTTTACGAACTGCAAATGGACAAAAAGTTCAAAACGACGTTAGAAGACTGAAGGGCATTCTTTTCATTGAAGCAGAGCTTGCAAGGAATGGCATGTCAAGCACCTTGCACTTTCATCTTGCCAAAAGTTTTCTTAGGCTTAACGGTAGCTCCCTCACTGACAAGCTCTGAGGACATTTTCCTCAGTAAATCTTCTTCAGGTTGCAGTAACGCTTGCTTTAAGCTAAAAATTTGAAACAAAGACAAAGATTCCATATTACAAACAAATAAAAGCAACTAAATTTACCAATACTACATAAACTTCTGGTGTTTTTAACTTAATGACAGATTTTGGCTGCCTTATGCCTATATAGTCATGTGCTTCTAATCCTCCTAAACTCATTGTTCTGTCGAAAAGTTCACTAACTTCAATTTTCAAGGTGACTGGCAAAGGGTAATGTCGTTCAAGCACAAAATTTGGGTACTTAAAACAAGAATAGCCCACAAAAGACACAAGTACATTAACTTTCTATACAGAAGTCCCACTTAAATATAAGTGATACTTTAGCAAAGTATATAACAATTCTACAAAGAAAAGCAGCAGGTATTTTCAACAATCTCACCTAAAGGAATTTCGTAATAAAGCGCATTCATTCTCTAAAAAGACAGGAGCTTCCACGCAGCCTTTAGCCCATGAATGGAGACAAAGCCGAACACATGCCTCATAAGAAACAAAAGTATGCCAAGTACCTCTTCCACTGTATACAATTTCAAATAACAAAAGATTATACCGATTAAATACTATCAGAATCAAATACTTGGATTGCATTAAATATAATCTACCAAACAGCAATACAAATGCTGTATTAACTACCTTGCATGGAATGTAGGATACTGAGAAAACAAATGGTTATGCGATACAGCAGCAGTCCTGACAAAGCACAAAGTAACTTTAACTCTTCATGCAATTCACTGAGAATTACATCAAGAAAAGGGGTAAAAATGCTGAACACAAATATGAAATACCTTCCAGATGTATTGGGCATTCTACTTTGTGTTGCATCTTGCGATGTACTTGAGCATGTGATAGGTTCACCTGTGGTTGCAGAACCACGTGACGTACCAGATATGGAGGTAACATCTGCCTCAGAATTTTTAACTCGATCATGTTCATCAAAAGAACCAACGAAGGGTGGTGCACTTGGAATATCGTCATCAAAGATACTAGTATTAAAGGCCTGAAACCACAATTGAATGTTAGACTGCATTAATTAAAGATCAGTGATTAAAAGTAGGTTCAGCCCTAAGCCTCCCCACAACACAATTTAACATTAACAAACCTTTTTATCACTGCCCCCATTCGTTTGTACATTTGTGCCATATCGATGAGCCCCAAAACGAAGAGAGGAATTTGCTTCTGAGCTCATGGTTGAGTCGGACAATTCACCATCACTAAAAATTGAGCGAGGACGAGAAGGGCCATTAGCATGACCCTTTCGCCTCCCATTCGGAATCTTATCATCCTGGGGCGAAGTTTCCAGTGAATACCTTCCACCCTCATCAGATTCAGAACCGGTATCCATGTCGGATTCACCCTCATAGTTAATGCCAGTAGTGACATGAGTCTTTGGAACGGAGAATAACCCAGATGGCAGATGACCATTCTGAAATTTAAACTGAGATGACATGCCGCCACTCCGGCCTCTATTTCTTTGCCCAATGACAGGATCATAAGCCCTTCTCTGAGTAGCCATTGTCAAAAACAAAGCCCTCTCCTTCTTCTTTGAACTACCCTAAAACCCTCCTTCCTGAAACCCAAATCAAACAACTTTTTTTTTGTAAATCCAAGACCCCAGACAAGAACACTAATGAAAAGTTCTAACAAAATCCAAAATCAACAAAATTACAACAAAATAAAATAAATCTTTCAAAACCCTGACAGCAAAGAATCCAGCTTTACACTCAGTAGTGAAGAAAATCGCCAAGGCAAACACAAAGAATCAAGAACAGTAGTACGAGAAACTTACAGAGTGCAAAAGTTGATGGAGAAGGCGAAAAGCAAAGCTTTGATTCTTCAATGCTATTGTAATTTCTTCTATAACAGGCGAAGAGAGTAATTGAGTCGTATGGCATTGACTAAGATCTAAGCACACTCAATGTAAAAGCAATTAAGTGAATCCGATTCCCAAAATTTCACCGGAAACTCCCCAGATTCAATGCTGTACCATATTTAGCTTCACTTAAACATAAATGAATTTATGAAAGGAAATAGAGAGAGAAAAGGAAACTGGCAAATGAGAAAAGTACATTAAAAAAGCCTTATAAATCTTTCTTTTGGGTTCTTTTGGTGCATGGAAATTGCAGTACAAGCAGCAATGGACAGCTTGTAGTGCACTAAGCGGCAGACCCCTCCGCTTCCCTTTCTCAATCTCTATTTTTACTTTAGAAAATAAAATATAAAGAAAATACTTTATATGGTCATTATTACTTGTACGATCATGAATTAATTTGAAATTATATGTACATAATCGAAAAGTTTATGTGCTAATTGAACATAAAAATAATTGTTACATAACAATTAAAAATTAAGAATATAAAAATATGAAGTAACATAAGTTGACTCTTTCTATTTATCACGGAGCTTTAAATACAAATTAGAGTTAAGAATTCTTAAAACACGGGCGTTTATATTTCAATCGTATTTAATAACATATTATCATTATTTTATTATGTTTTTAGTTTTCTAGAAATACAGGATATCACACGGCGCTTAAGCATTTTTTCGCATTTGTTATGTCAATCCTTTAATCATGGTTTATGCATGTATTTGGTGAGGAAGCAAACACGATAAGTTAGCTACTAGAAAATTTAAATTGTGAAAGATATGCATATCAACGTGAATTTTGATATATTTAAAAGTAAAAGTAAAAAATATATAAATTTAATATTTATTATAAATCATTAGAAAAAATAATTCTTTTTAAATAAAAGAGCTAATTCATTAATTATACGATAAAAAGTTTGCAATAAGATCGATAGAATGATAAAACATTATTACAATCAGACATTGAAATAAATTTTCAATGTTACACGAAACTTGAATCTCTGACTGTTTTTCAAGATTGAAACCGAATTGGTTCGGAGAACCTGAAACTTCTTTGATATTGTTAATGATCTTATTATCTAAGTCTAACTCTATTGCGGTTCTTATGTCCATATAGAGAAACTATTTGTTTCTTCAAAGAATTATAGTGGGAGTGGGAGTTATTAGATGTCCAGCATTCCAAATTTCGTTTAAAAGATTCATTTTATGTAAATTAATTATTAATTATAATTATATATAATAGAATGTTAATTGCAATGGACAAAAGATGAGAAAAAAAGTACAGAGTGGTGAGTAGAAAACAAAACAGAAAGAAAGTAGAGAGAGGAGCGTAACATGGGATGGGGGTGACACGTCATCACATGCGGCGCCAAATGAATTATTATCTGTCTTTTGCAGCGGCCGGTGGTTTTATTGGCGCGTCTTTGGGGTGCACACAACTTGTGTGTTACTACTACAATTTAATTAATTAATTAATTAAAAATAAAGTAGTCCACTGGGCACTGGCGAAGTAGGAATGTGTGAAGTAGACTGGAAAACCTAATCTAATATAGTCTGACTGTCAAACCTACTTGGGATCTGTAAACACTAAACACCTTTGGAATCTTTTCATTTTTTTTTCATTTTCTTAATGTCTACCTTATTGACTAAGAAAGGTCTTCCTATAAATTTACTGCTCGCTCTTAAATTTTACCTTTTTTTTTACGGAGTATTTTATTTATTTTTTCAAAAACTCATGAAACCTTATTTAATACAGAGTAAATAAAAACAAATTACGAATTCATAAATTAAATAAAGTGAAACATTACTCTTAATAATAGCATTATTCTTTTTTTTTGTACAAATTTTCGTTCTTTTATTCTTTTATATATATATATATATATATATATATATATATATATATATATATATATATAATAAAGCTATATGGTCTTGTGAAAATTAAATGGTGATAATCAACATTTAATTTTCACAAGACCATAATAATATTGTTAATTATAATAATAATAACAATAATAATAATAATTGCAATAATAATAATGATAATAATTTCCACTTTCTAATATATATATATATATATATATATATATATATATCAATTTCTACTAGCAAATTATTGTGTGAACGATGGTCTACATAATTGTATGGATCATGAATATCAAATACATTTTTAATACATTAAAAATACATTATTTTTATATTGAAAGTACCTTACATACATATATAATGTGCCCTTAGTATATTTAAAATATACTTTTTATTGCATGCAACCCCAAAGTTCATAAGTTTGAAATTAATATATGGCATAGCTAGGCGGCCTAATATTTAAGATTGTTGATGTGCATATTGAGGACTACGGAGACAAAGATGCGTTATTCGTGGATTCATCGGATACTATCCAACAACACTCTCCAACTTAATTGACGTGAAGTAGGCTTAGTAACATTAAGATTATATTCTCGAATTATTAGTTCTCATCTTTTATTGATTACACACTTAATTCGATAGTATTTGGAAGAAAAAATCAATGTTCGAACTAAGATTGTGATTTTGGTCTTTAAAGGTCAATTGTATGTTGCTACATCTAGAGTTAGAAATCTCAAAGGTCTAAAAATTTTGATCCGTGGTGACTCTAAAATTGTAATTCAATTACTATTGTAGTTTACTAAATTCTTAAAAATTTGTAATATTAAATACTATGTACTAAATTTTTAATATAGTTTAAGATTTGTAGTAATCACCCACCTTAAATATTATTTTAACTGTAAATATATTTATGTTCATAATTTTATAATAGGAATTCACACATAATAATTATTAAATAACAAAAATTTTATATATGAATAAACCTCATATAGGGTATATTTTTATAACATATTTTCCGTGCATCGCACGGGACAAATACTAGTATATATATATATATATATATATATATATATATATATATATATATATATATATATATATATATATATATATATATATATATATATATATGGAAGGGTTCATGTGCGGGTATAGCTTCCCGTGCGGTTAGATTTGAGTCGTTGATCAAATATAGATCAACGGCTCAAATCAATGGAAAAAAAAAAAACGCGTGTCTGGAAGAAAGCCACGCACATTTAAGTGTTAGATCTTAAGCACAAACTCACGCACATTAAGAACAAAACACACGCACATTAAGCACGAAATACGCGCATTTAAGTATTAACTCACAAACCTTAAGTTTCAACAACTACTGACATTAAGCACAAACTCACGCACATTAAGTACAAAATTCACGCACATTAAGCACAATCTCACGCACATTAAGCACAAAACACACGCATTTAAATATTAACTCACAAACCTTAAGTTTCAACAACTACTGACATTAAGCACAAACTCACACACATTAAGTACAAAACACACGCACATTAAGCACAATTTCACGCACATTAAGCACAAAACCATGCACTTTAAGTATTAACTCACAGACTTTAAGTTTCAACAATTACTTACATTAATCACTAACCTCACACATTAAGCACAAACCCTACGCAAATTAAGCACAAACTCCATTCACATTAAGAACAAATCTCACGCACCTTAAAAACAAAAGTTCACACTTTAAGTTTTACCAACTACGCACATTATGCACAACTCCACGCACATTAAGCACAAAACTCACGCACCTTATGCACAAGACTCACACACATTAATCACAGAACCGCTCACATTAATTTTGACCTAGATTCAAGAATTACAAAATTGCCACCACAATTTTTTTTTTAAATTTTGGTAATCCTAGACTTAAGCAAGATAAATGGCCCATATTAAACCGCACAACGGCACTAGAACCTAATTCTATATATATATATATATATATATATATACAAATAAATTATATTTATATTTTATAAATGTAAAAATAAACATATTATTTATTTCCTTTTTAGTTATTCATTTCTTTGTGCATAATTTGTCAAATGATCTTGTCGGGAGACAGTTCGATTTTATTTTTGTAGTAAAAAGAATGCAATCCTTGTGTTGTCTACATGGGCGTGCTGGCGGTGCAACCATACTATACGGAATGCACAAAGCAAAGCGCGAATAACGGGCAAATTATGACGCAATCGGAGCCATTTCCAACGGCAGATTTGAGACTACTATATACATTACACATACAATATTCAATTCAATAATTGATTGGACCCAATGTTACGTTGCAAATAAACTCCCTATTACCATGCGCATATATAATGTATTTTAATAAATACAACACCCAAACAAGAACATGCTAAGAGAGTTTAGAGTGGGTTCCACTTCAATTCCACCGACCACCGCCCGCTTCTAATCCACCTCATAAAAAAAAAATAAAAGAATAAGGTCAAATAGGCTCTAATGAAACTTTATGCTGTGCGACCATGTCCACCTTACCATACAAAATGCACACGGTTCCAATTCATAATTACTATACTATATATTCATAATCTTTATACTATAGATTCATAACTTCTATACTGTAGATCCATAAAATCTATACTATAGATTCATAATTTCTAAACCGTTTGAAACAACTATAAATTCATAAATGCTGAACTGTAGATTCATCTCTGTTTTTCTGCAAATCCCAAAGGAACAACTCTTTGGAACATTGTTCCGTTAAAAAAAAAAAAAAAAAAAAAAAAAAAAACTCTTTGGAACATAAGAACATTGCCTTGAATACTAGGTAGCAGCTGCTGAACCATATCATATATACTAGACTTGAAGCTTCCATCAATTTAGGGAACTGAAAATCATAAAATTATGCAGCAGTGAAGGGAAGCAGAAAAGGTAACCTCAGCAGGCCAACTCCAATGTCCACACCAAAGGAATACACTTAACGCCTCCAACAACAGAACTGAACCAAAGAGGAATAACAGCACCACCACCGAGAAGAACAGAGGATGGATGGACTTCCAGAATCAAAATGAAATGCATTATAAAGATTTTATTATCAACAATTCAACATATCATCATCTACTTGACACACATACATAGTGTATTATATTGACACTAACAGACACAGATACTAGGTTGCTCAGGTAACCACTCATAGAGTATTGAACTCTATGTTGACTGACAAATAGAGAAAACATTCAGGTTGTGGTATGGAATATTGGAATCTATGAATAATACCAGGAATGTTAAATGGAACGAAGCTGCTCAGTTAACCGCTCAGGATCAACAGTACTGTCGATGTTTCACCAAGCATCAATAGCTTTCAATAAGTTCTTAACTTCATCATAGCAGCAATTTTAAATTATCAAAACCTCGAATAGGAAGTTTCATCAAGAAAGTAACTAGATGAGCATATGAACAATTCTCAAGCGTGAATAATATATCAGGTATCTATCTATCGATCTCTCTCTCTATCAGCACTCTCAGCAATACATACAAGACTAATTTGGCACCAATAAATATGAAAAAATGTAAACAAAATAACAACCGTGATAATACAGTTCAACTTTTAGAGCCTTCTTGCATCCAATGGATGGACTATGGTGTAAATTCTAAAAGAAACCTCATATTCCCTCAAGATCATGTCCAAAATAATGACATGATTACATATAAAAGCAATTTAACAACCACAGGCATAAGACAAAAGAAAATGGAGAATAAAAACCAAGCCTTTATATTAAGATGACATAAAAATAAAAATAAAGAGTCCATAGGGGAAGCTACTTGGCCCCTTGTACCAACATCATATTTTTCTACTTGCTTGGGTACTTCATAAGAACTTTATTGGTCATTTGACCTATCTATAATCTATAATAGTTAAAAAAGCTAGCCGATAATCTTTAACATGTGCACTTGTAAAACTACTAGATTCTTCATATAGTGTTCCCAATCTTTTAAACAATTGGCATAGTATACCACACCTGTAGCGAAAAAGGGAACCTGTCAAAATCCTCTGATGCTGACTTTGTTGGGAGCAAAGCAAATGGCCAACAAATCAACAATGACCTAATTCCCTCTACTTGACATGTGGCTTAAACCTTAAAAGGAAAATAATAATACCAAAATCATTTCTAAATCGTTTCCTCTATGAATAGTGACTTCCACAACAGTTTTGAGACTAATAATAACCAAAAGATTTCTTTAACTTGAAGTCATTCTTGATCATTTCCTTTGCATTTCCCAAAGGACTTAAAAGTTGTTAGAAACATTTTCTGGTTTCAATTTCTAAAAGAAACATCATTCTCATTTTCAGTATGACAGCATAGAATCAAGAAACTCCTCTCAAACACAGCAGGAATACATGAAATGGCTTTTCAACAAAGCTTCCAAGAAATTTAAAAGTTGCATTTAGCTCCTGCAGTGATGAAGCACATTAATTTACATTGCATTTAGTACCCCTTGAACCAAGAACCTTAGTCCTCCCTAGTAAAATATGCACATCTTCTCGGTATAGCATGAATAAAAGAGCATATCCCAAAAACATAAGGACATTGATGGCAGAAATCATAACAAAGAACAACAATGACACTAGATATTTAAATAGCATCAATTTCTGTTTCCCTTTTTCTAGCAGATATTCAACAAACATAAACACTTCATGGTTTCCTAATATGATGATGAAGTGACGAAAATGATACTTTGGCTGTAGCATAAGCCAGCAGAATTCAATACCTGGGCGAGTGTGGCCACAAGGAGAAAAAATTTCAATGGGAGATTGGGAGGTGAGTGTGGCTACAGGATCTCTACATAGTTCTGGAGCAATACTGCTCATTGCAGCCCAATAGATTTGATCAAGATAACTAGAAGTGGGCTAGGGTTTTGTTTTTATACTTTTTAGACATAATAACTAAACCTGCACACTAGATATGAAAGAGTGAAAGAGTCCAAATAGCCATAAAATACAAAACAGCCAGAGAGAGAAGGTAGGCCCATCCAAAATCTCTTTATAGGCTTATTGCTTCTGCTATTGTATTTCAGAGAACTTATCTTCCAAGTTGTATGGCGAGTAAAGAGCATCAGAACCTCATCTTCACGTACGGAACGCTTAAGCGTGGCTTCCCAAACCACGCTCTAATGGCGAACCTAATCCGATCTGGCGACGTTACGTTCCGCGGCGAGTACACCACCGTGGACGCCTACCCGCTCGTCTGCGGACCCTACGGGATCCCGTACCTGATAAATCTTCCCGGATCGGGCGTCCGGGTCAAGGGCGAGCTCTACGCGGTGACGGATAGCGGCATTGTCCCCATGGACGAACTGGAAGGGGTCGAGGCTGGCCATTACGAGAGGCTCCCGCTGATAGTTGCGGCCGGCGACGGCGGTGGCGGTGGCCCCGAGGGTACGGTGGCGGCGGAGGCGTACTTTGCGCACAGGAGCTTCGGCGAGGGGCTGTGGAAGAGGTGCGGAGGAGTCGGGACCGGAGAGTTCACGACGGAAATGGCGAGCGAGTACCAAAGAAAGGAAGAGAGACCTCCGGGTTTCAATTTTCTGAAAGATCTCAAGCTTTTCATTTCTGGTGTTGAATAAAATACTTTTTAAATTCTCTCATTTCCATTTGATATGACTAGTGTATGAACAATGTATACAGAGTATTCAATCAATATCAATGCTCATTTGTAAAGACCCTAAATCATAAAAACACATGCATCTGAAAGACATACAGAGAGAGAGAGTGAATCCTCCATAATTGCGCCTCCTCGACCCGACCCTTAAACTTGTTGAGGTTTAGGTCAAATCCTCCATGTTTACTCAACACAACGCATGATGTTGATGATCTGACGAAAGGAAATAATCTCATCGAGCTTGGCCACTACAAAGGCGTTAATGGTGTCGAAGCTTAGGCTAATGATAAAAGTTCACCATTATATTCGTAGGATCATATATATATATATATATATATATATATATATATATATATATATATATATATATAGACTTTGAATCCGGTGCACACCCCATGACATATGGGCACATGAGAACTCTTTATATCCATTGATTACATTTTCATGAATGGTCAAGATTAGATGAGATTTTGTAATAAAGTAATGAGATTTGGAAATCACAAGGATCATAATGTAATTCTATTTAGTTGTTTAATTATGGACATTATATTTATGGAATCTTAAGCATGATATTAGGGAAGATATTATAGGTCATATAAATGTGCATATGTCAGGTAAGAGATAAAATGCGTGAGGAAGTGTGAGAGTGCATAGTAACCGTAGTAACAGGTGTGTGCGTGTAGGTGTATTCGTAGCAGTCAGAAACTCCATGATTTCAGAATATTGTGACGTGTGCGTGGTACATAAGTAGTTGGTGCATATTGGGCTAACAGTGGTTCGTGAACAGACTACCAGTTTACTAATGTATGTTGTTTGTCAGGTCCATTACCCATGGAAGATGATGCCGGGCAGCGAGAATGTGTTATGGACGTATCACCAGGCGGCAACGAGACTTGGTTAACTGAGTGCGACCCCAACATTAAGCCGGCACAAGGTCAAATGTTTAAAAAGTTAGACGACGGTATTGAATTCTACATGAAGTATGCATCTATAGCTGGCTTTGATGTGCGTTGTAGTTCCGACAAGAAGAACAGGTATGGGGCCATTTTGAGGAAAAAGATGGTTTGTTCACGTGAAGGTTTTAAGGAAACCAAAAACACAGGGCCGGTTGTTAGTGATGCACCAACCAAGGCAAACAAGTGATTATGGAGTCATACTGCGGCGTCCCACAACCTGAGGAAGTCAATATGCACCCACCACCCGTTTCAAGCAACAAAGGGTCAGGAAAACGCATGAGGACTGCTAAAGAGATAGCAATGAATGAGCAAAGTAAGAAGAAACGAACATGCAAGACCTGTGGACTAGCAACCGGCCACAATAGTAGGAGTTGTCCACAAAAATAAAGTTGGCATTACACTTGAAAAAAATAGTCATTTCGTTAAGATTTAATTCGAACTATTATATTTGGACAACTGGATCATGTATTTAATTCTTACCATTACATTGTGATTTAAAAAAAAAAAAAAAAAAAAAAAAACAGCATGCATGTGCGAGAACCAGTATACAGCTGAAGCAGAAAAAATACAGTTTACACGTGAGTTGAGGTGATAGTAGACATACATACAAACATACGCACAGACTGATAATAGGCGACGCACAGTGGTAGTATTGTATAGAAACACATGGAAACGGGAATAATTTGGTATTATTATCGAACAATTAAAGCTGAGAATATGTCTTGACATTATATAGTTATTAGTAGATTATTAGTATTGAACAATTTAAGCGTAGAAGATATATTGGGAAAACTAAAATAATAGAGACGAGTAAAGCGATAAGATTAAATACTAGCTCGGAAATTTATAAGGGCAAACATGGTGCACAACTTATTCCTATGACGCACAAACCGTTACGAGACGACGCACAGGGGTAGTACTGCGTCGGGAAAAAATGGGAATGGGAATAATTTGAAATTATTATTGAACAATTTAAGCATAGAAGATGTCTTGACACAATAGAGTTATTAGTCGATTATTACAATTGAACAATGTAAGCGTAGAAGATATATTGGGAAAACTAAATTTATAAAGGCAAATAAAGCGATAAGAGTAAACACCAGCTCAGAAAATTATAAAGGCAAGCATGTCTCAGAAATTATTACCATGACGCACAAACCGTAATGATGGGCCACAAATACGCACGGACCGTAACCGTGACACGCATTTAGTGAGCGACCATTGCGCACAAACATACAAATCGAACCCACAACATAAGCAAAGAAGGTAAACAACCAGATAATTTCAATAGCATAGCGGTTATAAAGTGTGTGCCTTGCATATTTCAACTAAGGTTAGGCCCTGACTGACCCCCATGAAAGAACAAACTTTAAAAAATTGAAGAGACAAAAAAGAAACCACATAGTAGTACTAAAATTCGGGTTACAAGTGTAAAACGCAATGTTGCCGTGCAAAATAGAAATAAACAAAATCTCTGTGGGAAAGCAAGAGCATAAATAACATTATGATTGGTCTTGTCAAACTGCGAACGCCAATCCTTCAAAGCGTCGCTGACATCATCTTTCGCCCTTTTATAAATCACAGTCTCGCCCGCCGGCAGTCCCAAGATGGAATGAACATCACCCTCCGTAAGCTTTACCACAACCCCATCCTCAAGACGCAAACACATATCCTTGGGGTTGAAATTGACAAGCAACCATCTGGCCAACGACTTCGGGATGTCCCGGACTTGCAGATTCAGTAACTCCCCCAAACCCAACTCCACGACCGCCTTCTTTTGGCACGCAGAAAACCTCTTCATCGGTTTAACCAAATGCGTTGGAGTAGCACGAATCTTCAGAGGGGGAAAAAGTGTCTCATCAACTTGATCGGGAATCTCAGGCGATCCTCCGGCATCCACAGTTGGTTGTGCTGGCTGCAGCGGCAATTGGGCAACTTCAGGCGGCATCACAGGTACCCCGCCATCGCCAACAACTTCTGGCTCCCCCACAGCAACACCTACAGGCTCCTCCACAAAATCACCTAGGGGGTTCCAAAAATTATACGCAAGACACAAAAAAAAAAAAAAAAAAAAAAAGAAATAAAAAACCAAATGCATACAAATGCACACCGCAATGAACATGTACGCATATACCGGGAACCCAGCATTTGAAACTTTATCAAGGACACAAAAACATCCAACAATGCAGAGCACCAATTTCCGACTAACCAGAATACCATACGTGCATACAGTGTTAAACTTATAAGCACAGACCATGAACACAATTTTAAAAAGGCCCATATCACTCACCCCCGTTACTTATCACGCAAACAACGAGACACATGTACGCATAGACCGGATCACAAACAACGTAATCATAAACATACATCATCTACAACCCCAACATTAACCAATCACCACAAAACAACGTAAAAATGCCACCCGTTTATATCCCACACAAACAGTGGGACACCCGTATGCATAGACCGGAACCCAAACATCCTAAATATAAACATCAATGAGCTATAATACCAAACTTAAGATATCAACACAAAAAAACTAATAAAAAGCGTATGACGCACACAGATAGTATAACGACGCACTGACCCCTAACGAAGCATACAAAAGGCAACAAATCAAACAATATATACAAATATAATATGCAATCAAACAGGTAAGCACACAGACACAGCAAATTACGCACAAACCAACCTACCAAGGCCCCCCCCCCCCCCCACCCCACCCCATAAAGGTACGGAACAAAAAAAAGGGCAATAAAAGGCACCAAACAATACAAAAAAAACACTTTTGGCATCAAAACCAACACCACAAGAATTAAAAAATACACACGATAAACAAATGAAACCCCACACAATATCCACTGCAAATGAAAATCCAACCTGGAACAAGAAACACCACAAATACGAATAAAATAAAAAAAACAAAATAAAAAAACACAACACCCACAAACACCCGAAACCCATAAAAACCAAACACACACCATCAACCCAAAACCCACCAAAACCCCCACCAACCATAAACGATCTAAATCCCCAACCCAAGGCGAACCAGAAAAGAAAAAAAAAATAAAAACAAAACAAAAAACACAAAAAAAGGGGGAAAACTAACAAAACCCTAACCCATCAATCGCACACCCCACCCCCCAACATTATTTACTCCGCCCCCACACCCACACCAGTCCAACCGCACCCCCCGCAATACTTACCCAAAAAAAAAAAAAAAAAAAAAAAAAAAAAAAAAAAAAACTAACAACCCTATTCCATCAACCGGACAACACCACAAACGCACACGCCGTGCACCGCCCCATCAACCGGACAACACCACAAACGCACACGCCGTGCACCCCCCCCAAACCCGCAATGAATCACCGGACATCGAAGAAAAAACAGAAAAATCGAACTGCGACCAAAAGCATACCTAAACCCTAGATTGGAAGTACTCATCACAATAATCCTAAACAACATACCCATGGCAGAAAACCACAAAAATAATAATAAAAACAAAAAAAAAAAAAAACAAAACAAAACTAAAAAGAAAGACAACGAATCGGAGTGAGGATTACCGGAACTTGAAGCTGAGGATATCCCCCTAAGCCGCTTGGATAGTCTCCTAGAAGACCCTGCCATGTCTACCAGTCGCCGATCGAAGAGCTCCCGGAGAGACGAAGAGAAGAAGAAACGGAGAAGACAGAGGAAGGGTCGAGAGAGGAATCGTCTACGGTAAGCAAAAATTGACTGCGGAGAAAGAATGGTTAAAATATCCTTTTTAATACAACACACGCACCAAACCCGACGAACATTGGTGTATGTAATAATCACCCCATATATGTAATTACACAAACGCCCCTGTCCAATAAATAAAAGCAACGCACGTGTACTGATATTATATATAATCTGGACCATTCAAAATAACAGATCAACGATTAAAAATAGTTCCCATGTGCTCGACTAAAGGGGGGGTGTGCACCTGATTCAAAATCTATATATATATATATATATATATATATATATATATATATATATATATATATATATATATATATATATATATGCTACTACTCTGTGCAGAGTCATTGAATATTTGTGACTTAGATTTAGCTCCTAACT